CATTTTCTTGGAATATTGCAAAGGTAATCAGGCTTTAAATTAAAAAAGTAGGTGGAAGGAGAGAATGGTTTTTGTAAATCTGATTAGCTTGATACCACAGAGTGTAGCAGATACAGCATTGGAGGAGAAATAATAACAAATGAGAAGATCGGAAATTTAAGTGAGATAATATCCAAAAGGAACTGCCAATAATGCAACTTAGTTGTATAACTGTCAGTTATAAAAGGGTGAATTAGAGATCCTGTTCCAAGGGGGCAAAATTAACTTCGTATATGTTGATGAGACTTAATAGAATGGTGCTCATGATTGAAAGTTGATTTTGAAGGAGTATACCCAATTCAAAAGAACTAGAGTAGATAAAAGAGAGATACTTGTATAGTGTAACTATAGACTTATTTGAGGAAATCTAGTACTGTGAGGGTTGAAATGTGGAAGAGAGAATTTGGGAGAGGATCAACAGACTTAGAAACAGAAGTGATACTGTTGTATGGGTATACTTATATACTACATGGATAGGAAGGGTTAGATGAGGAGTTTGGAAAAAAGATCTTGAGGCTTGTATGTAAGCATGATATTGTAGTGATAGGGGTCTTCAGCTTTCTGGGCATCTCTCTACTGGCACTCTTTCTTTGCCAAAATCAGAGCAACTGGTAAATTGTGACTTGCTATGATTGTGGTTTTATTCAACAGCAAGGGGAATTGCTATTTTGGACTTGATTCTTACCAAAAAGGAGGAACTGGTTGTTGAGGTAGAAATAACAGAAACCTTGGGGGCAATGCTACTACTGCATTATACAACTTGTGAGCCAAAGCAGATAGCTAGGCATTGTTTGATATTTATCCTAGATTTTGAGAGAGCAGATTTAGAGAATTCAGAGTAAGGATAGATAAGATCCAGTGGCCTAATATTTTGAAGGGAAAGTTGACTCAGGAAGCACTCAGAAATAAACTAAAGCACCAACAGAAATTATTCCAAGGGGAAGGAAAAGAGGTGTTGCCTAAAGGGATTAATGTTGGCTATACAAACAAATTCAGATTTTGAAGAGACATATATAGAAGGTGAAAGTAAGAGCAGGTAACTAGAGATAAATAATAAAAGAATAATACAGTCCTGTAGAAATAATATCAGTAACACTAAAGCCCAGAATAAGGTGTGTCTGGTGATGAATGCTTAGGACTAAAACAAAAAAAATTTTAAAGTTATGTTGGAGGCAAGAGAAGGATCCAAGTATAGATGATGATTCCTCTTTGGGGGTGGAGGGTGGGATGGTGATAACAGACAGTGGTGAGAAGGCTGAACTGCTAACTAAACTCTTATTTTGCTTGTTTTCTCTTCCAAGGAGAATTGTCTTTGAACTGAGAACAGAACAAAAATAGTGGGGGAGTAAAAAGTCAAAATAATTGAGGAGACAGAATCTGACTTCCCTCATTGAGTTGTTACCAGGCCTGAGTAGATTATATTACAGAATACTGAAGAATTAAAATTGTAATTGTTGATCTGACATCTATGATGTAGAAGGTCTTGGAGAATGTGAGAGGTTCCACAGACTTGGTAAATGCTCTAATTTTTGAAAAAAGGGAAGAATGAATTCTGTGAACTATTGGACCATTGAGCTTTGGCTCAATGAAATTTGGCAAAATTTTAGTACATCATTTTTAAGTTTTATTGATTATGTAGAATATTGTCCATAGTATAATATCTGGGTAAATGGACAACTTGTAGAGCTTGTTGGACATATTTGGACAAATATTGAGAATGTGCAATGAACTAGGGCCAAAATTGAGTAGTAGAAAAGTGGCCTGGATTGTCTTTGGGAATTTGCCAAGTTCTTTGAATGACTTCAAGTTTTCCCCTTATGGAGCTTCTCCCTATGTTCTTCCCTCCCCCATTTGATTTTTTTTTTTTTATGAAGGAACATGGATTTTAGTCCTTGGAATATTCTGTTTTTTCTTCTTCCTTTGCCTAATTCTTTTTATAACTCCCTCTCCTTTTAATCTTTTAGTTCCTTAGAATCATTTGTCTTTAGATGGAGCTCTTTGGCATCTGCCCATTTTGAAAAAAATTGTAAATAATCTTGCACCAGAAGCATGAGCTTATTGATTTCATTGTTTAGTACTTTCTTGTTAACTATATTCATTTATCTTTCTTGTGCTTTGTCTTGTTTGAAGTGTTTGCTTGTCAAGTGCTTTGGTTTCTTTGGAAGTAATTACTCAGGTAGATGGATAAATAATAGAGCATTTATTAAGTGCTTGCTGTGTGGTGGGCATTGTGCTGAGCACTATCTGATTCTGTTCTGCAGGTTCCACCCCAAATAACTAACTATTTTTTGCCACGGTGGGACTTTTAAACTTCAGTTCTCTCTTGTTAAAAAGATGTTAAACTGGGTCACTAAAAAGAATGGACAGATCACTGACCCCTAAAATATATGCCTATTGGGTTATTCCCTCTAGTGCAAAACCTTCAGCCATGCTGAAATTGGTTAGGGTGAGTGGGATTTCAGCCTTCTACTCTTAATTTACAAAGTTTTACATTGAGTGGAGATAATTTGCATTCGCTTTTTGTTGCTGTTCAGTCATTTCAATCATGTCTGACTCTGCCTGATCCCTTTTGGGGTTTTCTTGGCAAAAATACTGGAGTGGTTTGCCATTTCCTTCTTTAGCTCATTTTATAGATGAGGAACTGAGGCAAACAGGGTTAAGTGACTTGCCGCAGTTCACATAGCCTAGTAAGTATCTGAGGCCAGATTTGAACTCAAATAGATGAGTCTTCTGGACCACAGGCCAGATGCTTTATCTGCTATGCAACCACCTTCTCTTGATGCAATTCTAATTGCTATATATGGCCCTTTTAAAACCTATTTATTTACTTACTTATTCATTCATTTATTTATTTATTTATTGCTAAGCTCTTACTTTATGCCAAGCTATGTACAGTGTGCTAAGTGCTGTGATTACAAATAGAAAAATTGAGACAGTCCCTTTCCACAAGGGACTTATACTCTAATCAGCAGAGATAACACATCATAGAAGTTCATCTTCCATCAGCAGATGCAAAGGCTTGAAAATCCTTTAGTTGTGATTGGGTGGATTGCAAAGCCCAGAAATTCTTTGGTTACATAAGTAGTTAATATGGTTGCCCAGAGACATTCATCAGTATCGTATATCAATTTCATGAAGACATGCTTGCTCCTGTTTTGGATAATGCTTTTGTGCTTTCCTAGTCACCAGTGGAGTGAAACAAGACTGTGTGCTTGCTCCAATGCTTTTTAGCATGATGTTTTCAGCAGTGTTGCCAGGCACTTTCAATGAGTATGAACACAGAATCAAGGTTAGTCATCGTACTGATAGTAAATTATTTAATTTGAAAAGACTACAAGCCAAGACTAGTGTGGAGGGAGAGTTGGTGCATGACTTTTTTGTTCTTAGATGGTTGTACACTCAGTGCAGCCTCTGAAGCTGAGATGCAACAAGTTATTGATTGATTCTCTGCTACTTGTGCAAATTTTGGCCCAACACCAAGAAAACACAGGTGTTCCACCAGCCAGCACCACACCATCCATACATGGAATGATTAGTTATAGCAAACGGAGAAGTTTTGAATATTGTGGATAAGTTCACTTACCTTGGCAGTATATTTTCTAGGGGTGTGCACATTAATAATGAGGTTGACACATGCATTGCCACAGCTAGATCAGTCTTTGGGAGGGTCCAAAGACAAGTGTGGGGGAGAAGAGGTATTAAACTGATTATCATATTGAAGGTCTACAGAGCCATTGTGCTGACCTCATTGTTGTATGCCTGTGAAGCCTGGACAGTATACCAGTGCCATGCCAGTCAACTGAATTGCTTCCATTTGAATATCTTAGGAAGATTCTGGAGATCACCTTGGACACTTACATTCTTTCTTGAACTAAACTACTAATCATTCAAACTACTGCAGAGAGCGCAACTCCAGTGGGTTAGCCACATTGTTCTAATGCCAAAGGTACTCTTGTATAAAAGACTTATTTTATGGAGAACTCATACAAGGCAAGTACTCACATGGTGGGCAGAAGAAGTGATACAAGGACACTCTTGAGGTCTCTGAAGAATTTTGGAATTGATTGTGTGACATGGGAGACACTGGCACAGGACCTCCCAGTGTGGCATACCCCCCCCCCATTAAAGAAAGCATTATGCTCCCTAAACAAAGCAGAATTGAAGTAGCTCAAAAGAAATATGAGATGTGCAAATTTAGAGAATTCATCCTAAATGTTCACATGGACTATTTGTGCCTGACCTGTGGCAGACTCTCTTGAGCTTTTTTATTGGTCTGATCAGCCATAGTCAGACACAGTGTGATTTGACTCTTAACATAGTGATGTTATTTTGGTCCTCTTTAAGAACAAAGGACAACAACCAGTTAATATGACATTGCTAGGAAACTACTGGGCATTGAAACAGGCAGATGGTAAAGCCTGGTAGTCCTCCATCTTACCAGGAGGATTGGAGTTGTCTCCTATCCACTTTAAGCCCAATCATCAGTCAGGCAGCTTGGCTAAAAGCTGAAGATAAGGTGGGAAGGCTCTTTGGGTGGTAGTGGTGGGAGTGAGTTAAGGGGAAATGTAAGGAAGGGTAGAAATTGTGGGGGAAATTATGCTGAGAACCATTTACTTTTCACTATCTTGCCAGTCCTTTTTCTGTATTTTTCAGTAACGATATTTAATAATTAAGTTAGACAAATATTATTTTAAAGCATTAGTGGAAATAAATATTAACTTTATCAGCTTTGGTATTAAAATAATCTATTTTGTATATTACTGAAATATTATATATGAAAATCATTAAAAAAACTCATTTTATGCTATTAGTCACTTAACTGTAATTCCATGATTGAGTACAGTCATGTTAACTGATACTTACCCTTATATCATCTGTTTTAGATGAACGAGTCTGTCAGAGTTTTCTTATTTGCTTATTGTATAAATTCATTTACCTTTTTATTATTTTCCTTGTTTCAGATAATATCCCAGAAGATTTAAAAGATCCATTTTACATAGACCAGTATGAACAGGAACATATTAAACCACCTGTTATCAAGCTTTTGCTGTCCAGTGAGTTATATTGTCGGGTCTGTAGCCTCATTTTGAAAGGTGACCAGGTAGCAGCATTAAAAGGACATCAGTCTGTTGTTCAGGCCTTGTCTCGGAAAGGAATTTATGTAATTGAGAGTGATGACACACCAGTAACTGAATCTGACCTCAGTTGTGCACCTATAAAAATGGTGAGTACTAGCAGGTTTTAAAACATTTTTAAACTTAGACTGTTGTGTGTTTTTTAGGGGATAATATTCCCTTGGGCTCTGGTGATCTGAATTGAAATGCACTGAATTTTTCTCTTTAATATTTTGATCTCTTGAAACAGGATTGACTTTTACATCGCATACCTGCGTTGTGCAACTGCCTCTGCATATTTTGGCTAAGTGAATAAAAAGTAATTTAGTTAAGTCAGCAGCTCATCAACAACTTCCAAAATTCAAGTAAAATGTAATGTAAACATTATATAAGTACTAAGTAAGATATTAGAAAATTGGATTTTCACAAAAAAGGTTTTTTAGTAAGTTTTAAATTTCTTAAAATTTGGGTATTCACTTTTACATAATGGAAAAAGGCAGTGACTTATTTTAACCTATTTTTATCTTGGTGAATGCTGTGTAAGAAAATTCAAGAAAGATATGACTTAATTTAGACACACAAATCAAACATTTTTGAGGCAAACATCTTAGAAATATTGTGTCTTCGTTGTCTACCAGTTTGTCAAATGGATGTCTTTTTAAAGTATTTTTGTTCTAAAACAAATGATTATACTAATCCAATGGTACTTTCCCTTTGTGTTTAGCAAAAATAATCATATGATTTATGTGACACTGCTAGACTCCACTTGGATGTATTTTACACAGGAACACTTATTTTACATTGACTATATTGGTGATTTTTCATGTCCACAAATTTTGTGGATATTTGCTTTCGGTCACTGGTATTTTGTAAATGTGCATGACATTATTTAAGAAAAGGTTGACATGTTCTCTATACACACTGTCTCCCACATGAGTGTACCTCCCTTTTGTTTATTTGTAATAAGCCTGTGGCCTAAAATTTCAAATAAATATGGCATAGAAGAAATATGAGCATGGTATTTGTAAGCAGAAAGAGTCCACAATTAGGAATTTGAGAAAGTATTATTGGGAGCACAGTGAAAGATTTGTAGTTTTGAATGAGATTGTGACTACCTACTTTTCATATCTATTCCCCAGAGTTCACATATGGCTATGATTGATGCTTTAATGACAGCCTACACTATAGAAATGATCAGCATTGAAAAAGTAGTTGCCAGTGTCAAACGCTTTTCTACATTCAGTGCCTCAAAAGAGCTTCCATATGATCTGGAGGATGCAATGGTTTTCTGGATTAACAAGGTCAGTACTTTGAAGCCATTTCAGTGTCTCCAGGTCATTAAAATATCCTTAGTCGATTATGGGCCTGCTGTTAGGGTAAATAATGTTTTTTTTAAAATACTCAGATATGGAACTGGAACTAACTGTGTCCTCCCTTGTTGGGGAGAGAGAAAAATACCTTTCTCTTACTAACTTGACCTCTAACTACGTATGCCTTAGAATTAGTAGCATTAATCAACCTTTTGCTATATAATGTATATGTAGAAATGATTACGCTATATTAAAGGAGAAAAAAATTACTTTTCAACTTCAAAGGGAAATTGTCACCCACTTTTATGGTACCCATGACTATTTGTAAAATTGTTTAATAATAGTACATGGGTTTAAGAGCTCTCTATTAAGAATAAGTGAAATATTAAATTCTAGATATCTCTGGGTAGGTAAACAAGATATTGATTATAACATCTGAAGGCATTTGCATATTATATATTTTTTTCCTTTTGCTATTTTAGGTGAACCTGAAAATGAGGGAGATAACAGAGAAAGAGGTAAAATTAAAGCAGCAGCTGTTAGAGAGCCCAGCTCACCAAAAGGTAATAAAAGGCTGTATTTAACTTCTCTGGAAACTTTTTGGTTTGGAATCATTGTCAAGTACAATTTAACGTAGCCCCAAATGGAAACTTTTCATCTTTGTGATAGTAGCTACTTGTCTGACGTTTGCCTCAGCTCACTAAATATACACTGGTGAAATTGTTGAATTCAGGTAAATTCAGCAAAGAATTACCAAGTGTCCATTATGTGCGGTAAATTGGAGGGTAAAAAGGTAGATGTGATGTAAATTCTGCCTTGGAGAACTCACAGCCTTTTAGGGGGAAGAGACACCTATACAAGTAACTGATAAAAGGAAGACTGGAGTAAATGCAAAGAAGAGATCAAATAGATTATTATGATAAATGAGAGGATGCAGATACATGTCTTAGTTGTGTGTGTGTGTGTGTGTGTGTGTATGTATGTGTAGGGTTTGGGTGGATAGTATCAGGCAAGCCTTATGGAAGACATAGTACCCGAGTTGGGCCTTTAAGAAAGGAAGGGGGTAATGGGGATATCAGGGCATATGAGAATGGATGGTCAGGAGGGACAGGAGTTTATTGAAGGAAGAAGTACATTATACACGTACAGGACAGTGGAGCAAAGGCATGGAGATGGGGAAGAGCAATATGAGAGCAAGGGATGGGGAATAGACTAGTTTAACTAAAACATGGAGTAGTGAAAAATAAGGAAAGTAGATTGAAGCCAGAAATTTGTTGTTCAGTAGTTCAGTTATATCTGACTCTTTGTGACCCTGTGGGCCATACTGTCCATGCGGTTTTCTTGGCAGAGTATTGAAGTGATTTGCTATTTCTTTCTCCAGTGGGTTAAGGCTAGCTTGAGTGACTTGCCCAGAATCACAGAACTAGTAAGTGTCTGAGGCTGGATTTGAGCTTGGGCTTCCTGACTCCAGGCCCAGCTCTATATGCATTGCGCTACCAGAAATGAAAGGACCCTAAATATTAGAATTAAGAGCTTAGCTTTTAGTCAGTAGACTGTAGGGAATCACTGAAAGTTTGTGAGTAAAGGAATGGCATGATCAAAGCAATTAGGAATTAGGAAAATTATGTAGCTAACAGTATGGAGGATAGTTTAGAGATGGAGGGTAGAATACCAGTTGTAAGGGTCTTTATCATACATAGTTTAGGTTAGAAGAGATAAAGGCTATGACTGGGGTGGTTATAGTATAGACAGAGGAGGGCATGGATGAGAGGTATCTTGGAGGGAGAATCAACAGAAATTGATAGGTTTTTTTGGATGTGGGGGCTATGACTAAGGTTACAAGCCATGGTTAGAAAGGTAGAAGCATATTGTAGAATACTGTGGAAGGCAAGGGGGCACAAAGTATGTGAGAGTTCAGAATTCTGAGATGACTTAGAGGGCAATGGACATGTTTGACCTGTATCCCTCTTCCTTATTAGAACATGTCTGTTTCCTATCAAAAATTAAGCATGAATGCAGAGGGAGGAGGTTCAAAGAGTAAGGGAGTTCTACAGAACTGAATAATACTGTATATGACCCTACCCTTTGTTCCCTCCTCTTCCTTCCCTTATCTATGTAACTATATTGGTTATAATGCACTTTTACACTTTCATTATTAGAGAATATAATGTCCTTAAAATGGAAATGTGCCTCAGTTTCTATTGTGTTTAAAAAGAGCTCTTCCATTTTAAGCTAAAAAATTATGCGTGTAAACAAAAATAAAAGACCAAGATAAAAAATACATCGAGAATTGGCTTTTCCTTTTAGATATGAACCAATTTTTAAAAAATTTGCTACAATAAAATAGCAAGTATAGATCATATTAATTATTATTGGATTTGTAAAGGGACACTAAGGCTTAAAGTTTTTCTTTTAAACTATTAAATTTTAAACTGAAGTTTTCTAATATTACTTTCAACTTATGAAACTTAACAATCTTGTCTTACTAGTAGTAAATACAAAGTGTACCTTGCTTAAGTGCATTCAGATATCATTACTTGATCTGCTGATGTTCCTTTCCTTTCCTACCTTCCTTTCCTTGCTTCCTGAGCAGTCTCCTTCCAAATGGTATTGGAAATTAGTACCTGTAAGTGAACTACTTTTACACTAGTCACCATAAGAATTTCCATGGCTTTTAAATATAAATGATTGCTTTTATTAAGAACAGTAAAACAGTAACAATAAAACCTCTGACAAATTTGTTTACTTGTTCATAATCTGTTTTAAAATAAAATTTAGTTTCTGTAATGTGAATGTCTACTGCATAAAATAATTTTATAGGTACAAGTTATGCTTTGTTTGAAAATGCTGAGTTTTATGTTTCTTAAGTTATTTTTAAGCTGTTTATTTTTATGAACACTTTAAGTAACACCATGGTAATAGCCTAAATAGTCAGCATAAAATGGAAGGGATGCATACTTTGTTCAGACAGTACAAAGCAGGTATTTTCCTAAGCTGTAAATTGAAGAGGGGTAGGTAGATACCAAACTACATAAATTTTTCTGCTTTGCAATTTACAGCTTTTTTGGGGGGGTTATTTTCTGGATTGTTTTCAACTTTGGAGTTCACTAACTAGATGTGAGTGAATAGATTATCCAGTTGCAAAAATGGCTTTCTTTAAAAATAATGGGTATTAAAGTAGTCGTTGTTAATTGACTATAGAGAAGTGGGTGTTTTTTTTTCACCTTTAAAATTCTTCTAATATGTCCTTAGACTATTTTTTAGCTTTACCATCATTTGTCTTTAAGACTTGATAGCCATGGATTCACCTCTGTCAAAATGCTAGAAATACCTAGCAATCATTTATGACACTTTTGTGAGAAATTTTTTTCAAAAAACAGTTATTGAATACACAAACCACATATAAAGCACAGTGAGGCTTAAAAAGATGACTAAGTTCACAGATTATCAGAGTTAGAAGGGATCTCCCATATCAGAACAGATCTCTCCATTCTTTGATGGAAGATCTCAAGTGAGGAGGAAGCCCCATTTGCTGCCTCTTGAGGGATCTTATTCTACGTTTGCATAGCTTTGTTAGGAAATTTTTCCTTATGCCATGCCTAAATCTGCCTCTCTGAGACCTCTGTATGTTGTTCCTCGTTCTCCCCTTTGAGGTCCAACATTACAAATTTAATCTATCCACATGATATCTTTAGACACTATGCTTCTCTTAACCCAAGATTGCATTAGTTTTTTGACTGCCTTGTCGCACTGTTGACTCATATTGAGATTGGAACCCACTAAAAACTCTGGTTCTTTTTCAGACAAACTGCTACTTAGCCATGCTTCTCCCATTTTGTACTTGGGGATTTGATTTTTAGAACCCACATATGAGATTTTACATTTATCCCTAATAATTTCATCTTAATAGATTTAACCCAATGTTCTAGCCTGCTGAAGTATTTTTGTTCCTTGACTTGTGGCGTCCAGTCTTGTTAGTTCTGTGTCATATATACATTTGATAAGCGTGCCATCTAAGCCTCTATCCAAGTCATTCATAAAATTTTTGGCTAGCACAGGCTATTTACTCATTTATATTGTATTATAATATCAGTCAATAATATCATATCAGTAATCAATAATATTATGTTATATTCAGGGAGGACCTCTGAAGACTTTCTTCTGAGTTCAGATCAAGGCATTGATATCTACTACTTTTTGGATCTGTTCATTTAGCCAGTTCTGGATCCACTTAACTTGCTTTCCATTTTATTCACAAGAATACCATGACTTTGTTTGATGTTAAAATCTAGAGAAGCTATACTTGTGTAATATTTGTCTAATTTTAAGTTTAATAATGACCCTTTTCTAAAAAATAAAAAAAGAAATGAGGTTACTTTGGCATTGTTATTTGTGAATCTGCAGGCTTTGTGATCACTGCTTTCTTTTTTACTTACCATCTCTTTAACAATAGATTCTGGAATTTTGCCAGATATTGCATATAAACTTAATTGTTTGCAGACTGGATATAAGCTTATTGTTTGCAGACTACCCTTTCTTGAATTTATTTCCTAACCACAATTTTTGTAACAAAATAGAGTAGTATTTCTATATTATAGAGTAGTATTTCTATGTTATGGATCTGGCTAGATATACATAGGCAGTTTTTTTCCTCTCCTTCCATATTGATTTTCAGATAAAATATTTGGCTTTGAGGAGGTTAAAATCTACTGGGGAGATAAATCTGTATATAGATGATAAAAAATAGTGTCATAGGTGGCACAAAAGGTACATAGTAGTATGGGAATTCAGAGGAGGAGAAGACTTATTTCTGCTAAAAGGATCAGATGCTCCCAGAATTCCAAACATCTCAGTTAAAAATGGATTTTATACTGTCTCATAAATTGGAGACTGCTGCATTCAGCTTGATTTTCCTACTCCTTTTACACTAATTGTTTGTGCTGAATTATTATTTTAGAATTTGTAAATAGAAGTTAAATACTGATGTATATTTTATATCATTCACATTAGCATTAGCATTTATTCTTGCTTGTTGGGGTAATATCTTTTAAAATGTTTAAAGTCTCCTGTCTTCTTAAATCCTCAGAGCCAAAGTAATTACTTACAAATACTTTTAGTGAATACACCTAGAATTGTAGGCCTTAAAGTAATAAGATTTCAAATAAGATTATACATAAATTGAAACCATGGAAGTATTATACGTAAGATTTCATTTTATCAGATAAATCATTATTATGATAGTTACTAGTAGGTATATGTTACAAATTGGTTGATGATAAATTAGTTGCCTTTTCAAGGTGGGGGAAGCAGAGGGAGGGAAGGAGAGAATTTGGAACCTAAAATTTAAAAAAAGAATGTTAAAATTTGTTTTTACATGTAATTAGAGAAAAAATAAAATATAAAAACTTTAAAAAATAGAAAAGTATTTCCTAGTAAAATTTGGCAGTGGCTAAAGTTTTACATTAAGCTACAAAAAGCCTAGAGGTTTTTTAAAAACCCATGTTACTGTATTCTTATTAATTTAACTTAGATTCCTTAAACTGCTAACTGGAACATTATAGATGATTTAATCTCCACATCTTATCCTTCCTTAGAGGATAAGACCTTTTGAGTTGCTGCATGAGTTTGTTTAATCACCATCATGTGTGTCTCATGATCTGTTTTTGTGTAAGCCTGATCTCTGGTGCATGCTATTTCATACTGCATGCTGGAACCTGTAGACTATGCTCGTGTGGTACAGTATGATTCACGTTATTTAGATTGTAGAGTGCTTCAGGTTAGGAAAAGCAAGTTGTAATTTGTATTAATGCAAATTTGTTGTCTAAAATGTAAAGAAATTTAAAATATAAACAATTCCCACATTTGTATTGTACTTTTTTGTGATTTAGTGCTAATTATAAAATTATTGCTTCTTACTGAGTAATAATTATTCTTGCTTTGGTTTAGTCTACACTTTTCTTGAAAATTCATGATTTTTATTGTAGAGCTTGAGATTGCTTGCAATTTGAACTGTAGAAGAAAATTGATTGGAAATAGCAATAACATTTTAAAAGTAGATATTATTGAATTGTGAATCACATGAGAATGTAAGTGAAATAGTTCTGAGTTTGTAGATTAAAATTTGAAAATTAAAGTTACTCTTTTTTCCACAAATTTAATTTATATTATGTGTCTGTTCATAAATATGATATTCATGTTAGGTCTCAAATGGTTTCTTAGGTTGTTGATGTAATGAACAATAGTTTCTTCTTAATGCAAGTGTATGAAAACTGAAAAATAATTGTTACATGTAGTACTCTTCCCAGAATTCAATTGCCTGTTACTTAGTTGTACTTACTTGTAGTTGACTTATTTTAAAAAAAAAAACCATTCCATTATGTTTAAAAATATCTTCAGACTGTATATTAATGCTTTTATTTGTTGGTATTCAGGCAAAGAATAGCTGATATTTTATTAACATTTACTAATATAAAAACATTTTAGCTTTAAAGGATGTAGGTTTTAAATAATTTGGACTGACTTTAATACTTTTTTTTTTACATCTTACTTTTTTGTGTGCTGTATTTCATTAACCTTTCAAAGGTCAGCCTCAAGGTTGGGTAGTAGGTCTAGTATTATGGGCAAATAATTGTTTTTAAACAATGTAGAATATATAAGTTGTGTGTTTTGCTATGTCAAATTATGTAGCAGGTTATGAGATATATAAAACACATTTTAAAACATCCTCATATAATCAAATCTTCCTTTTCTTAAATATAGGTTCGATACCGACGAGAGCATCTTTCGAATAGACAATTACCATACTTTCCATTGGTGGAAGATCTTATGAAAGATGGCAGTGATGGTGCTGCTCTTTTAGCTGTGATACACTATTATTGTCCAGAACAAATGAAATTAGATGGTAAGTAAAGGGTATTTTTTCCTTTAAGCATGTTAGATTCTATGGATTCAGTTATGTGAGTGTCATACTTAACTTTTGATTAGCATTTTGCCTGACAGACTTGTTTTCAGGAAAAGATTTGACTGAAGTGCTAAAGAGAGGATATAGGCTAGACATGTTTCTCCAAAGGATTAGACTTTTGTAGGTCCTGGTATATAGCCTCCCTTCAGATATCTGGATGCTTTTGGTTTCTAACAGAAAAATCAATGTAGAAATGAAGTTTCTGATGATTCCTAAAAATTTGTATTCATATTTTTAAAGCAGTCATGTTTCTATTTGGGGAAAAACCAAGAAGTCAAAGTCATGACTTATCTTAAAATCTCATGTTAGAGATCCTAATGATAATAGTTCACTTTTATGTGCCACTTTGTACTGTACAAAGTGCTTTCCTTACGACAACTTTGTGAAGTAGGTAAGATATTATTATCCTCAGTTTATATGAGAAAACTGAAGGCCATCATCTATTATTATTCTACTTGGTAGTTCAGTGATTTCTTAAGCATTGAAAATGAGACAGTTAGAATTTGTTTAGTGTAGATTTAGGCTGTGTTTATTAGATATTAATTTATAGTCCTCAAAATCCTAATCAGCTACTGAAATGATTTTGCTTTAGACTATAAAAAAAATCTCTTTTGATTTGGTGTTTTTTTTCCTCACAATTTGTTCATATTGCTACCAAGGTGAATTTTGTGTTAATGTGTGTGCTTGGAAGGCAAATAAATATGATGTAGAAAAATTGTTTCTGATTTTTATTTTGACGTGTAACTTTTTTTTAGCCATCCTCTTGCCTCCTCTTTTATTGTCATAGATTTTATTCTCCTATGTTTAGGAGAATTTAAGCATAATGTCCCAGTCATCATTAAGTAGACTTGAGAGACTTTAAAAAATTCTTTGTTTTCTCCATTTAAAAAATGTGTAAACACAAGATTTGAGGACATTTATTTAGGAAATGAATGTAAGACACTTTGAATTTCATGGAATAGTTTCTTTATATGTGGAAGATGAGTAATGGAAAATAAGTTTTGATCTTTGTTTGGAGAGTGTTAGCCTTCTCACAAGTAATTTCAACTAATCAATATTAACTTTTACATTCTGAATCATCGTTTCTTTTATGTTTCTTTTTTCCTATTGAGTAATTGCCAACATATGGAATACAGTTTTGAAAGGTTTACTTTGTTCTAGAGGTTTTACTGTTCCTGTAAAAATCCTTAATAATTTTAGAATCTTGTTCAGTATTGCTTCTATTGTAGTATTTTTCACATCACATAATATAATTCACTAATATCATATCATATAATTCACTGATAGTTGCGTAATTGCAATACATTGTGAAAAAGACCTTTTTCTTTGCAGTAAATTTCAATTGTGTTTCTGCCCACCAGATATATGTTTGAAGGAAGTAACATCAATAGCTGACAGTTTATACAATATTCAGCTTCTGAGAGAATTCTCAAATGAATACCTAAACAAATGCTTTTATCTCACCTTAGAAGACATGCTGTATGCTCCTTTAGTGTTAAAGGTAAAGACTTAATACAGAAGTATATTTATTATTTAGTACAATTATATGAGGGCACTACTTGCTTTAAAAAACAAGTCACTTACTTTATCCTTATTTTATTTTTTAAGCCAAATCTTATGGTTTTTATTGCGGAATTATTCTGGTGGTTTGAGAATGTAAAGCCAGATTTTGTACAACCAAGGGATGTTCAAGAAGTAAAAGATGGTAAGTGATTAACTTTTTTTTTCTTTTTAGGCAGTTGGGGTTAAGTGACTTGCCCAGGGTCACACAGCTAATACGTGTCTGAGGCAAATCAGGTCCTCCTGACTCCAGGGCTAGTGCCGTGTCCACTGTGCCACCTGGTGGCACTCAGTGATTAACTTTTGATAAACATAAGTATTGGCTTTTTTCCTTGAGTAGTAAGAAAAGCCTCTTTAATAGATTACTAGCCTTTTTAATCACAGATGGTTTGGTAAGACTGCTACTTTTTTCGTAAACCTGTTCGATCCAAGGTTATTTAAACTTTCTTTGCTATCTAAACCTGCAGTTTGTTTTGCGATGGTGATTGCTTAAATCTGTTTTGGGAGTCTGGGCTTATTTTTTGCTAGGACTTTCATTTTCTGTAAAATAAATTAATTTGAGCTTTGGTGTTTTTTTGTTTTCTTGCATGGTGGGCATTTTGAGTGGTTTCTTTAGGAATTGCTTTGCTATGAAAAGTCAATCTATTTATTTGACCTCCTGCTCTGTTGTTCTCTCAAAGCTACAGTGGGCTTCTCACCATATCCAGTGGATTTTTATCCCACTTGACCTTTCTGTAGCATTTTGTACTTTTGAGTACCCACTGCCACAGAAAATGATCTGTGTTCTTCAGTTTATTTTTCTCTGTCTTCTTTGCTGGTATTTTTCCTTCTGACTTATATCAGTGGTCATCATCCAAGACTTTATTCTTTGCCTTTTTTTCTCCTTCCCTTACTTTTATTTTCTTAAAAGGACTTTGGCTTTTGAACTACCGTTTTACCTAAATCTGCATTTCCTAACTGTACCTGTCTTGTTACTTAACCATGTAACTGAAGCAGACAGACATTAAGTGATTAGCCCAGGGTCTGTTGCCCAGAGTAAAGGGCATAGGTGCTTTCTAGATCCTTAGGCACTAACACCTGGCTTCCTAATGCATCCTAAAGACCCCTGGGCATTTGTAGTACTTTTGGGCCTCTTTTCTGCCCTGCAGATAAATTCTTTTTTATGGGCTTTTTCTGATTGTGTCCTCAGTGCTTAGCTGAGTACTTGGCAGGTAATTAGTGTTTTTCATTCATTATTTTATTCTTTCATTCATTTAGTAGTTGTTAATTGAAAGTTTGGTAAGTCTGTGTTCATAAGACCAAACTTGTTTTATGTTTGTCAGTAAAAAGCAAATAGAATCTTTGATTCTTTGGCTTTGAGAAATAGATTTGAGATGACCATATAGTTGTATGAGTGTATGTCATATTTTCTACTTCTGATAAAGTTCTAGAGGAATTTTAGCCATAGAATAGTTGGAATGTTAAAAATAAAGATTGAAATGTCCTAGCCAAGTTTAATTTGTTCAGTCAGGATTGTTCTCTGTTACTCTTCTATTGTACGAAATATAATCTTGATTTTTTTTTAATATCATTAATGATATTTTAGGTCTTTGTTGCTAAAATAATGTACTCAGGTATTGAGTTTTAAACACATTTTTTAAAGAGAAGTTACATTTAAAGCAGAAGCATTTTACGTAGATAATGGCATTTTATTGTATTTTCTTGCTAATATATTTAACAATTTAAAATAATCTAATATTACTATAAAATAAATATTTCTGCAGCTAAAACAGTTTTACATCAAAAAAGCAGCCGCCCTCCTGTTCCTATTTCCAATGCAACTAAACGAAGTTTCATGTCAAGCCCGGTACTTCTGGCCAAGCAGATATGCAGCCTCCAGTTCAGCTGCCACCAGAAGCTTGCAACAGGTATTACCTGCACCCTGAAGAATCTGACTATCTGTAAGTCTGTCTTTCTGCCCCCAGAATGCACCACCTTATTTTTCTTTTCTTTGTATTTCTGAAATTGTTTTGAAGAGGTTTTTTAAAGAAAAGACTTGTTTTCAGATTGTTTTTCTGTTCCCTGTATGAGGGAAAAATATAATAATGATTTAAAGATTAGAGAAATAGTCTTGATAAATCTAGGTGAAGGTTTATTTTGTAATAAGGACTTATAGTATATAAAATACAAACATCTAGGATTCAAATTTCCATGCATCATTTTCTAAAAGTAAATGACTATGTAAAATATTTTAGTGGATGTGAATGACTATGGAAAACATTTTATTTTTAAAAAATAATTTATTTATTTTTGGTTTTCAGCATTCACTTCCATCAGATTTTGAGTTTTACGTTTTCTCCTACTCTCTCTTCCCCCTTTCCCAAGATGGCATGCAATCTGTTATAGGTTCTACTTACACATTCAAATTAAGTATATTTTCACATTAGTCATGATGTATAGAAGGATTAGGACTAATGAGAGGAACCATGAGAAATAAAAGAAATAAAGAAGAAATAAAACAACAAAAGAAAAGGAGAGCAAATAATATGCTTCCATCTGCATGCAGACTCCATCAGTTCTTTCTCTGGATGTGGATGGCATTTTTTGTTATGAGTCTTTTGGAGTTGTCTTAGATCCTTGCATTGCTGAGAAGAACTAAGTCTATCAAAGTCATTCATCGCACAGTGTGGCTGTTACTGTGTGCAGTGTGCTGGTTCTTCTCTTTTCACTTGGCATCAGTTCATATAAATCTTTCCAGGAGTTTCTGAAATCTGCCTGCTTATCATTTTTTATAGCACAGTAGTATTCCGTTACATTCGAATACCACAACTTGTTCAGCCATTCCCCAGTTGATGGGCATCCCTTCAATTTCCCTTTGCCACCACAAAAAGAGCTGCTGTAAATATTTTTCTACATGTGGGTCCTTTTCCCTTTTTTATGATCTCTTTGGAATACAGATCTAGAAGTGTCAAAGGGTATGCACAGTTTTATACCTTTGGGCATAGTTCCAAATTGCTCTTCAGAATGGTTGGATTATTTCACAACTCCACCAACAATGCGTTAGTGTTCCAATTTTCCCACATCTTCTCCAGCATTTATCATTTTCCTGTTTTGTCATGTTAGCCAACCTGATAGATGTGATGTGGTACCTCAAAGTCATTTTGATTTGCATTTTTCTAATCAATAGTGATTTAGAGCATTTTTCCATATAACTATAGATAGCTTTAATTTCTTCCCCTGAAAACTGCATATTTATATCCTTTGACCATTTATCAATTGGGGAATGACTTGTATTCTTATAAATTTGACTCAGTTCTCTATATATTTTAGAAATGAGGCCTTTATCAGAGACACTGGCTGTAAAAATTCTTTCCCAATTTTCTACTTTCCTTCTAATCTTGGTTGCACTGGCTTTGTGAAAAACCTTTTTAATGTAATCAGTCATTCATTTTGCATTTCATAATGTTCTCTATCTCTTGTTTGGTAATAAATTCTTCCCTTCTCCATAGACCTGATAGGTTTACTTGGTTTTTTAAAGAACGTTTTGTAATTGGCAATTACATGTCTTGAATGTGCCTTAGTAGGTTGATTCTTAGATATATTATGAACTTTGTAGTTATGTGAAAATATTTCCCTTTAAATTAGGCCCTCCTAGGTTTTGTTATTGACATATAGAAATGCTATTAATTTTTAAAAATTTATTTTGTGTCCCAGTACTTTACTGAAACTGTTTTTTGAAACTTCATTGGTTTAATTACTGATTATTTGGTGTTTTCTAAGTAAACTATGTCTTCAGCAAATAAGTATAGTTTTGTTTCCTCTTTATTGATGTTTATGCCTTTAATTTCTTTTCTCTTGTCTTACTGTTATTGCTAGCATTTCTAAAACTTGTCAGACAACAGTGTAGAAAGGGGTCATCCTCACTTCTATTTTTATTGGGGAAGCTAGTATTTTTCTACTGCAAATAAAGCTAGTGTTTGGTTTTAGTTATATACTTTTTAAAAAATCACATTAAAAAGCTCCCCTACCCCCCTAAAAGAGGTTTTAGCATAAATAAATAAAAATATTTGTTGTTCACTTGTTTCAGTTGTGTCTGTCTGTTTGTGATCCCATTTAAGGTTTTCTTGGCAAAGATATGGGAGTGGTTTGCCATTTCCTTCTCCAAGACATTTTACAAATTAGGAAATTGAGACAAGCAGGGTTAATTGACTTCCCCAAGGTCACACAGCTATTAAGTGTCTGAAGCCAGATTTGAACTCGGGAAGACGAGTCTTCTCATTCAGTGCTTAGTACTCTATCCACTGTGCCGCTTGTGCCCCTGTCCCACAAACTATCAGTGTTTAACCATCCTTGCAAAGATTGCATGGTACAAATGTCTCTCAGCCACTTAAGCCCCTTTCTCCCTTGCTTCTGTTCTGTATGTATCGTGTATGTGCCTATTTATTTAAATTTTATCTCCAGCTCTTCTTTAAGAAGTGCTGAAGGGGTATTGAGGGGAAAAAGTTTAAGAAGGCCTGGACTCTATTCCACCATTAGAATGTACGTTAAGGCTTGCTTTTTCCTTCTTTGTATTATAGTTAGCACAGTGTCTGGCAGCTAGGTGGCGCAGTGGATGAAGTGCTAGGCCAAGAGTCAAGAAGATTCACTTGCCTGAGTTCAAATGTGCCCTCAGGCACTAAGTAGTTGTATGACCCTGAGCAAGTCACTTAACCCTGTTTGCCTCAGTTTACTCCTCTGTAAAGTGAACGGGAGAAAGAAATGGCAAACCAGTCTAGTATTCTTGCCAAGAAAACCCCAAATGGTATCACAAAGAGTCACACTGGAAGCATTTACTGAATGGATGGTTGTTTGATTGATCCAACTTGGTCATAGTGAATAATTTTTTTGAATATTTTACAGCAGCCTTTTTGTTGAGATATTATTTAAAATTTTTGAATTTATTGGTAATGTGAGTCTTGTTCTTTTTCTTTGTTTTATCCTTTGTGGTTTAGGTATAGAACTATGTCACATAAATGGAGTTTGCCAAAGTGTTTTCTTTCTCATTTTGTGAAAATAGTTTGCATATAGTATATTTAACAGGATTTTCCTGTAAAGCTGTCTGGAGCTGATTTCCCTTTCTACCTCACCCCATTTTTCTTGGGTGTAGTTCATTTACAGCTAGTTCAATTTCATCTTCTGAAATTGGATTAAAATCTTTTTAATGATTTATTCATTTGTGTATTTTACTGTTTTTTAGATAATCCTTAATTTCCTTTGAATTCTCAGTTATAGCGGCAAGGTATTTTAGGATCCCCAGTCATGGGCCTTGTAATTTGCTTGTGCCCCTTTTGATGTGCACTTGGAGTTGTATAGCAAAGGGATTCTGGAGTTAACTCGTGTATGTGTGTGTGTGTGTGTGTGTGTGTGTGTGTGTGTGTGTGTGTGTGTGTGTGTGTGTTTCTACTTGTGTGTTATGGGAGATGGGATAAGTTCTGTCTTGTAGAATTCAATTTTAAGTTATATTTAGCACATAATTTTTTTTGTTTGAAATTGTGGGGTCAAAGATGCTTGCAGAAAATGACTTTTGCTGTCTTGTTGATCACTTCTGCAGATTATTCTCGTAAAGATTTTGTAGATCTCTATATACTCCAAAATATTTATAGAAGCATTTTTTTGTGATAGCTAAGAATTGGAAACAGTAAAATCCCCATTGATTGGGGAATGGCTAAACAGCTTCTGGCACATGAATATTAGAATATTTCTGTGCTGTAAGAAATGATGTATGTGACATACAGAGAAACATGGAAAGATCTATATGAACTGATGCAAATGAAGTAAATAGAGCCAAGAAAACAGTATACATGGTACCTATAATAATGTAAGTGGAAAGAACAGCTACACACTAAAAAACCAAAAGGAAATGTAGCAAAATTGTAAAGATCAAGTGGAATTCAGATGAAGAGACTTGAGAAAACACTCCTAACTTGGCGGAGGTAGGAGGTCCGTGGGTGTTACGTATTGCACTTACTGGACTTTCTCAATGTATTGATCAGTTGTGCTGACTTTTTTTTCCTTTCTAAAAAAATACAGTGGCTCTTGGGGAGGGGGTAGAAGAAGGATATATGGTAGATAATATGGTGATGTAAGAAGTAGAAACATCAATAAAAAAAGATTTTGTAGAGATGATGGTGAGAAAGTGGCCTGTGGGTCAGTAATTGCTGATTTCTTCTCAGTTGTCTGCCTCTCTCCCCACTCCATAATGGTGCCATAATGCCATCTGAGATTTTTTTTTTCACCCATTCTCTTCTTTCTCAGAGAAATATAATTGATTCTAACCTTCTTGAAATCAGGAACTGTTTCATTTTTGTTTTGTATCCCTACTGCTTTGCACGTAGTGGGTACTTCTTAAAAATAAAAAAAAGCTTATTTTGCATCTTGAATACTGTTGAGTGTGTTACTATATCACCTCCAGAGGGCTTTCTCCTATATGTATTTGATTTGACTGAGTCACTCTTCTTAACTAAATCACTTATTCTTTTAACACATCAGGTTCTAAAGTAGAGTTTAAATATGTCAATACTGTCATTAATGAGAATAGATTGCTGTAGAAACAATAACAAGTCTGTTCCCTTTCCTGTCTAGTTCCCAGTCTGTCACGAAATAGTTGTTTTCATTTTTTGTAATATTGGATCTTCCTATGTCCAGCATCTTTTCATTTTCTTCTTGAATAGTGCATTTATGCTTTAGAAGTGTTAGACTTCTGAGTTAGACATCTTGACTTTTTTCATTCCTCTGCAATCATATTTTCCAGGTATTTTTTTCCTGTCTTGTACTTCATGTTGTGCTTTACATCGAAGTTACTATGTATCAGTTTGTATGTTGTGTAAGTCGCAATTATCTACATAGTGGTATCTTTTGCTTATGCTTATCATGAACACTTTTAAGTGTCTCATTACCTAATGATGCTTCTTATTGCCTTTTGAGTGCATAACGAAAACAATTCCACTAACTCCTTTACCTGCACCCTTTTTTTTCTGATTTCATTTATACAAACATGCCAAATTGATGTGGTTCAAATCCTCTAGTAGTATAGCAAATCATTTAATGACTGACTGAATAAAAAAAAAGTTGTCAAGCATGTACTACGTGCCAAACACTGTGCTAAAATGCTGAAGATACAAATAGAAAAAAGACTTTATCTGTTTTCAAGGATCTCATATTCTGATTTGTGGATATGATATGTAAAAGAAACTTTAGCTGCGAGGTAAGTAAAAATATCCAGATGTCTTGAGAGTGCTATGGTATGGTAAATGACAAGGCTCAGGGGTTCTTTAAGTTATATCAAGTGAAATGACAGTTTGTAGAGTGGTATAGGACCTTAGCACAGTGCCTGGCACATAATAATCTCTTAATAAATGTTTGCTGAGAGTGTAAGAGACAGCAAAGGAAGGGGGATGTTAGGCAGTAGTAGGTCAGATGGCAAATCCTGGTGGTCCTCCATCTCTCCAGAAGCAATAGAATTGGTGACTCCCATGTCATCCACACAATATAGATAGATTCTGGAAGACCAGGAGAGGAAATGAAGAATTAGGGCAAGGAGTTCACATTTTGAATACAGTTAATTTTAATGTTTTTAGATGGTCTCAAAACTGATTCTTAGAACACTGTGATCCCTTATTTTTCTATGTGTTTAAAAAGAGTAGAAAGAATTATTTCTAACAAATTAACATACTTCATATGTATGGATACTTAACTGCTATGGTTATTACCTGGATCTTTATGTTTTATTTCATCATGTATTATGAAAGTATTAAAAATTTAGGTTATTATAAAAATCACCTCTGGTGGAAATGGAAACTTTGGGTAAATGTGATTTAAATTTTAATCAATTCTATTTTTATTTTTTTTGTTGTTGTTTTAGGCAATGGGGTTAAGTGACTTGCCCAGGTCACACAGCTAGTAAGTGTTACATGTCTGAGGCCAGATTTGAACTCAGGTCCTCCTGAATCCAGGGCTGGTGCTCTATCCACTGAGCAACTTAGCTGCCCCTTAGTCAATTCTATTTAAGGAATTCTCTTAAAACAATTCAGATTGAATATCTAAAATGTCTCCAGTTAATACTTGAAATTTAAAACAAAGTTTTGGAAGTTGCTGCACAGTAGAAACCACTTGTGGTGTCAGTTCTTTAAAAGTTCTATGTTTGTAGGGAATGTATTAGGATTGAGAATAGTTTTACTTTTATTGGGAAGTAGAGTACAGGGAATGTATTTTAATAATTTTTAACATACCTAAAGATGCATAATCACCATTAAATTTCATAATGCTTTTGAAATGAGTATCATCTATTTTGAAAATTTTAGTCTTTTGACTGAAATTCTTTTGAACTGTTTGAGTTATTTGAACTATTGTTTTGTTTTTGTTTACTTTTGATTAGACTGCAAACCATTTGAGAATAGGGGCCCATGCCTTATTCATGTTTGTTTTCCACTTAGTGACAAGCACAAGAATGGATATTTCTTGCCATCATTTTTTGTCATCCACTCTTTAATTTGAAAATAAAAGCACAAGTTGTAATTATTCTCTCTTTTTTCCCCATTTAGTGGGAAAGGGAGTCCTGCCTTTAGCCCATCTCATCCTTTATTGCCATTGAGACAGAAACAACAGAAAACAATACAGGGGGAGGACAACCAGGGTAAACTTTGTTTTTCATCTTTTTCTTCTCTTCTCATGTATAGCTTTATTTTGAGCTCCATTATAATTAAATTGAATTTACTCTTTGTTGATATATTTTTATGAAGAATGAATTATAAATCATTATTGATTTTTGTAGATGTTTATTACTTTGGCATATTTTATAAGGTTAGCAACATTTAAAAATATAAATAGCAAATATCTGACATGGCACTATTTGAGTAGTTTTCATAAAATTCTGATCTCTTAAAGATTAGTATTTATGTGCTGTGCTAAAGAAAGGGTCTCTGGGTGTTAAATTTTACTTGTGTTACCAAATATTTTGCTTAATATTTTTAAGGACTAATTAAACTTTGGGTGGGAGGAAGTATGATATAATGGAAAAATTGAGAGTCAGGAGATTTGGAATCTCCTGTCTTGATTCTGCCACTGTATTACTCTGGCTTTGGGCAGTATGTTATTATGTTAACCTTTTTGTCTTGGTTTCTTCACCTATAAAATAAGGGACTAGACTAGGTAGTCTTTCAGCTTCCTTTGAGGTTGAGACTTCTGTTTCAGTGTTTTCAGTGTTTCAATGTTTTCTTTCTGTGATTTAAAAAAAATGTAAAAAGGCATATTGTGTTGGTATAGGCCATTTTTCTTGCTCTGATGAGTTAGTCATATGTTGTTATGTTCTGGAGAATTGATCATTGCATTTCAGATATTTCAAATTGTGAAACTGACTTTAACATTGTACACTTTTTTCAATTTGTAGATCAACGTCATCGTTCTAATTCATTAACTCGAGTTGACGGACAGCCACGTAGTGCAATCATTGCATGGCCAGAAAAAAGGCCCAGGTAAATGTTTATCATATAAACTTAAAAAATGTACATAGTTTCTGTTTTCAGAAGGCTTAAAAATCCCCTGTTGATTACACTAACTTAAGTTATATCTTTATCGTTCTTTTACTTTGTGGGAGGATTTGAAGCCTAAAATATCCTATATTCATAACAAATATTCTAGTCATTTTATATTTTAAATTATGTCATCTGTATACCAAAGAATATTAAAATTTGACTTCTCCTAATTTCTTATTTTAGGCCTCTGTCTCAGCCAACACCATTTGCTCTTCACCATGCTACAAGTAGTGATGTGGATCCTGGTTCTGGTGATAGTATTAGCTTGGCTCGATCGATTAGCAAAGATAGTTTAGCATCTAATATTGTTAGCCTCACCCCCCAAAATCAACCTCACACCACGGCTATTAAGACTAATGGGAAAAGCTTGCTGAATAATGTTGATATTGAAGATGAAGATGAAGAACTTGTGGCAATAATTAGAGCAGATGAAATTCCAAGCTGTGGTGACTTAGAATTGCAAAGTACATCTTCCAGGGCCTCAAGTTTAATGGCAAGTTCTCGGTCTCCTAAAAGACAAGTGGAATCCCTAGAAAGTAAACCTGATAGTTTTTTTTTAGAGCCTTTAATGCCTGCAGTACTTAAACCAGCAAAAGAAAAACAGCTTATTAATAAAGAAGATGAATGTGGAGAAGGGAAGCAAAGAAGTTTTTTGTCTAAAAGACTTAGTGAAGGACATCAGCTGTTGGGACGGAAGAAAGTTAATAGCAATCATGTTGATCATGATATGAATAGGACTTTTACTCCAATTTCTAGTTCAGAATTTCCTACAGCTATAGATTCTGCTGCTACTGATTCAGTAGGTTTGGGACTTCTGTCAGCAGAGGTTTCATTAGAAACATGCAGGTCATTGGCTAGTGGTGGTTTAGATCAGCTATCTCAGGAACAATCTGCTGAAGGCTTCTTTCTTCATGTTTCCAAAGCTGATGAAGATACAGAAGGTAGAATAAATGATAGCAGTGCAAAAAGTACAGATCCACATGGTCTAGAAACAACATGGACTATAATTAGGCAAGATTCTGACTCAGATATCCTGGATCTAGAGGAAGCTGAACAGGATTTAATTGGAGAGGGCCCCCCTTTAGTCATTACTAAATATATTGGTGAGGAAGAGTCTGCAAAACTACAAGAGGACATGAAGGTTAAGGAGCATGAAGATAAAGATGATGCAAGTGGACGTTCAAGTCCATGCTTAAGTACCATCTCTCAAGCTAGCAGTGTGTCTATGGCTAGTGGAAGTGTTAGGATGACCAGTTTTGCAGAACGAAAACTCCAGAGACTTAACAGCTATGAAGCAAAGTCTAGTACAAGCAGTTCCCAGAAAACTACACCTGATGCATCAGAGAGCTGTCCAGCACCACTAACTACATGGAAACAAAAGAGAGAGCAGAGCCCTAACAGGCAAAACAAAGATCATGCTAATCTCTTGGCTTCTGAGCTGGTTCAGCTTCATATGCAATTGGAGGAAAAACGCAGAGCAATAGAGGCACAAAAGAAGAAAATGGAGGCATTGTCAGCAAGGCAGCGACTCAAGTTAGGTAAAGCAGCCTTCCTTCATGTAGTTAAGAAGGGGAAGACTGACATTGTTCCGCAACCACTTAAACCAGAACATTTTCCAAAAGAATATTCTCGGCACAATGGAGAAGAATTGGATGATGGAATTTCTAAAGGTGAAGACTTTCTTGTAAAAGAAGAGGATAAAGAAGATCTCCTTAGTGATTCTCAAGAAATGGCAAAAATAAAGATCCAGGAAAATGTGGCTTTTGTTCAGCACAAAACAAAAGACGCTGCTGCTATACACGAATTAGAGAAAAGTAAGATGCTCTCTGCTGCTCTTTTAGAAGATAATGTTGGTGAAGTTGTAGATATAAATGAATGTGATGTTTCCATTGAAAAGCTAAATGAAACTATTAGTACACTTCAGCAAGCTATATTAAAGATTTCTCAACAGCAAGAACAGCTTCTTATGAAATCTCCTACAGTACCAACACCAAGTACTAGAAATAATTCCCAGGACCAAAAGGTAAAGCCATCAATTCATTTTGTTGAGCCCCTCTCTCCAACTGGAATGAACAGTCATCGTAAACCCCCTCGTCTTGGTCAAGGACGAAGTCCTCGATCAGCACGACCAGCTGAGCTAAAAGTTGCTAAAGATAAACAGCAAAGTTCTTCCCGTATTAAAACTCCAACGCCAAGTGTAGAAACTGCGCCTCACTTAAGACCTTTTCCTCCTAATAATCATCCCAGAACACCCACAGAAACATGTTTGGAAAGTGCCACAAGCCATGGAAATGATTCTCAAGAAAAGTTTTTCTTTGATAGTTATAGGCTTCATGATGAGAGTAACCAGAGGACATTTGTTTTGTCTGCTTCCAAAGATGCAAACATTATTTCTGAACAAATAAGCAAGGAAGTTTTGAATAATAGCGTAAAAGAAACAGGGATAAATTCTTCAGATGTCTCAGGAAAAGAAAATGTTCCTGTAGAAGAACCACTAAGGAGCAAGGGTAGTCTCATTGAAGTAGACCTGTCAGACCTGAAAGCACCAGATGAAGAAGGAGAAATGGAAAGCCATGATAGCTCTTTAGATTTAATTAGTGAGTGTGATCAGAAGCCTGGTGTAGGCTTTTTCTTTAAGGTAAGCACATGATACTATTATTTTTGCGTGTTGGTGATGAATAATCCTTTTATCATTTAACCATTAACCACGAGTTTTCTTTATTCTTCAGAGAAGTCTGTACTGGTAGGGAGCTTTTACTTGAAGAATGCAGGTGGACATAGAAAATACCTATCCCACATGCTTTTCATGTACATTTTTGAAAGGGAAAAAAAGTGGAAAAAACTTGTGGGGAGAGTAGGGAGTTTCTCCTTTTACTTGTAAAATCTACTCCATTTACATGGTGTTTTGAAGATGATTGGGATAATATAAACTTGATTCTTAAATCTTATTAAAAGAGAAGCATACAAATATAGCATATTATGTTATGTAATGTTACATTGTTTAATACTTATGCTTTTGGGATGTAAATTGTTTCCGGGTTAATCAGGTCCTATTTTATACTATTTTATATTTCATGAACTCAAAAGGTTTTGATAATGTCTTATTACATTTTGTATCTCAAAAGGTTTTGATAATGTCTTATTACATTGAAACCTATCTGATTTTACTAATGGATCATTTGAAGTAAAGTCAACTTCTGAATGGTGCCTAGTGAGTGATTTAGCTTTTTTTCCCATCATTTTCACGGCTACTATCAAATATTTTTTTTCCTTTTTTTGGAAGATGAGCAGAGTTTTGGATTAAGCAGTATATTTTTCTAGATCCACTTCCAAGTCATTTTTTTTCTCTGCTGAGTTTAAATATGATTTTCTTAACCTGTTAAAATGTTTTATTTTCAAGTGTTAAATCTGACATTGAGTTCAACTTTGCAGGATGAACAAAAAGCAGAAGATGAATTAGCCAAGAAACGGGCTGCATTCCTTTTAAAACAGCAACGCAAAGCTGAAGAAGCTCGTGTACGGAAGCAGCAGCTAGAAGCTGAAGTTGAACTGAAAAGAGATGAAGCCCGGTGAGGCATACTTATTTTTTGGCCATTAGTGACAAGATAGATGTGTGTGAAGTATTGCACCTGAGGTTACAGATAATATAAAATAACAGAACTAAGGAGTGATATGGTAAGTTTTGGGAGAGGAAACCTTTCCGTTTCCTTATCTCTATTATTTCTGATGCTTTGGTGTCACAATAACAAGTTAGCCACTAAAAAGAAGCCGTTGGTGTTTATTCTTTATGTCTTCTGAGGCTAGAATGGAAGGAAGTGGAAAGAAACAAAAACAGTAACATTTATTAAGTCATGTAACAGTAGGCACTTAACAAATGCTTGTTTTTATTCTTAAACTGCATTATGAAGAATTTATGTTAAGTGTAAAACAGAGCTTTCTGATAGACTTAACCAAAGACCATACTAGATGGCTGAAGGGAGATTGTGAAATTTTTCTAGAAGTCTTTTAATATAGTTAACTCTGGAAGAATTTTGGTAAGGTTCATTTGGGTTTTCTTACTAGTATCTAGCAAATGATTATTTGTGTAAATTGACTTTTTTTTCTAGGCGGAAAGCTGAAGAGGACCGGATACGAAAAGAGGAGGAAAAAGCTCGACGGGAACTCATTAAACAGGAATATTTGAGAAGAAAACAACAACAGATTTTAGAAGAGCAGGGACTTGGTAAACCAAAATCAAAACCGAAAAAACCACGGCCAAAATCTGTTCATCGGGAGGAGTCATATAGTGATTCAGGAACCAAATGTTCTTCAACCCGTAAGCAGATTTTGCTGTGTAATTTATAATTGTGGGTAGATGTGTGTAAATAATTACACCTATACATTAGCTATTCACAGTTCATCTAAAGTTACAGATGTTTTCATGTGAGCTTTTAAAAAACTTTATTTCTTTTTTCTCCCTAATTAAACAGCTGATAATTTAAGTAGTGCCCAATCTGGCTCCAGCCTGTCTTTGGCATCAGCAGCAACAACAGAACCTGAAAGTGTTCATTCTGGTGGAACTCCTACTCAGCGGTAAGGAAGAATTCAGACTATGATTTTGTCTTTGTATTATATGTTTAGCAACTCATGTGATTAATAAGTAAGAAAAAGACTTAAAAGAAGAAATTTTTTGATGAAAATGAAGCTGGTTTCATCTTAATGAATGAATTGACATGAAAAGTAACGAAGACTAGAAGGAATGTGATGTTTTTCTTAATCATTTTCATCTTCTCTTTCTTTTTCCTTTTGATTGTCCAGAGTTGAATCCATGGAATCTTTGCCAATCTTAAGCAGGAATCCTAGCAGGAATACAGAAAGAGATTGGGAAAATGCTTCTACGGCATCTTCAATTGCATCTGTGGCAGAATACACAGGTAAAGGTTCAGAATGTTTCTATGATAAGATAATATAAATTCCACTAAAGTTTAAATTCCTTGTTTTGGACTATTGATGGCATTTTCAAGTAAATTGTATTTGCCATTTCAGACTCATTGATTAAAAATGATGTGATAATATAACTGTAGTGTTATTCTTTAACTAGAGAAGAGCTTTTAGAATAAATTTCCTAAACTTGTCCTCTTCCTAATGCCCTTTTTATCCTGTCCTCTTTTTCCTTAAGCAAGGGAAGAAGAAATGAACTTATGCTAATATTTTCAGTACTTGACTTTCATCTGCTTAATTCAAGAATATTTTTGCGAGTTCTACTTAATTGTAACTTGTTATAAGTAATTATGTGCTAGTAGCATATTTTTTGCCAGATCTCAGTTTCGTGCTCATTTTTGTTTTTTTCATGAGTGTGTTTTGTTTTGTTTCCCCAGCAGAAAACACTGTATTGAGGGAGGGGGAAATATTGCTGATTGCTGCTATTGCTTTTTAAAATTTATTTATAACTTATATTATTACCATTTTTAAAAAGGATTTGTAATAGCTACAGTTCTTGTTGCATCCTTGGTTCCCAGAATGCATGAAATAACAAATAACTCAACTCTACCCACAGTTTGATTCTAAGAACTATAGTTTTAACATTTTTGTATTGTTTGCATATCTCACAGTATTTGTTTTGAACATTTTTTGTTTTGTTATGTTGTCTTAGGTCCCAAACTCTTTAAGGAGCCTAGTAGCAAGTCAAATAAACCAATTATTCATAATGCTATATCCCATTGCTGTTTGGCTGGAAAAGTAAATGAACCACACAAGAATTCAATACTGGAGGCAAGTATTAGTAGTATCATTACTGAGTTTCATATAGTTAAGGGAATTAGTAGAAATTACTATTCTTTTCTCAGTGAAAATTCTCCCAGATTTCTAAAAATAACTGATATTTATATAGTACTTCATACTTTAAGTGCTTTACATACATTACATTTGGACCTCACAACAATACTTTGAGATGTAATTACTATGAGTAATATTATCCCTGTTTTTACAGATAAAGAAACCAAGACTCCTAGAGTTGAAGTGACTTGCTAGTAATCACATAGTTAGTAAGTGTCAGGGGCAGGTTTTGAACACACATTTGTCTGACCATAAGTCTAGCACTGTATCCATTATTCCATGATACAGACTAGCCTTTTTAATAAAGAGCATAACAAATTGAACTTTTTTATAATTCAGCTCAACTAAGCAAAGCATTCAGTGAATATGTACTATGTTAAAAATACTGTCAGGAGATAAGGAGTACTATGTGATGGAATCCTTGAGTTCAGTGTATTCGCAATCTTATTGAGGAAATAAAACTTAAATAAATGAAAAAGAGAGTAATATAAAGTAGCACATAGTAAGTGATAAGTTGTGTCCAATGAGAAGAGATAAGTGTGGGCCATAAGTTACCGAGAAGACTTCATGGAGGGAGTTGGTACTTGAAAGACTTTGACAAACAAGAATGAGGAGCATGTTGTAATTGGGAAAAATGAGCAAAGGTATACAGGCAAGAATAAGGCTGGTATATGTAAGGGATAGTGATGAGACAGATTGGATTGGAGCAGAGTATACATGCTGGAGAGTAGTGGGAAATGAAGGTTATATAGGTAAAGTGGAGAAGATATTGGAGGAGTTTGAATGCCAAAATGAATCTGATTAGAGTTGGAAGAGACCTTAGAAATTTTCTATCCTTTTTGAGGATGAGGAAATTTAAATTGAGAGTAATTAAATGATTTTCTTGGTCACAGTGGCAGAATAGGTTAAGGGCATGATAAAAATTGTGTTTTACCAGAAGATTAGTTTCTCTAGTCAGGATGGAGGGGGGAAAGGGAAGAAAGAAGTTAAGAGCTTTTTTCAATAAAAATACAGTAGTAGCAGTAATTAGGGCTTGAATGAGGTTGTTAGCTTTGAGAATTAGGAAGAAAGAATTGTCAGGACTTGATAGAGATGAAACAATTTGTGAAAAATGAGTTCTGGGTCTTGAGCCTAGGGAAATGATGTTGTCATTGATGACAGAGAACTTGGGGAAGAAATAGTCTCTTCAGGAAAGAATCATGTTCAATTTCAGACAAGCATTCCCCAAGGGAAGAGGTTCTAGCAAAGAAAAAAAGCATGATGGCTGTCTCAGATCTTAGTGGTTTTAGTATCCAGACTTTCTAAATACTTGCTAAAGGCAGATGTTTTTCAGGAGAGTTTAATTTTATTTGAAGAACTTTCTGGTTGTCTTCAACCAAAAATTCCTCATGAAGAGACAAGTCCTTTTGTCTTCATTTAATAATTTTCTATGATAAAAGTTAAAAAGTATCTCATAGAAGTCACTTAACCATTACTTCTCTAATGGAAATGAATCTTGATACAGTATGATTAGCCCACTGCAACGTCCACTTAGTGATTTAAGCTTGGTCTGTCTTAGCACTATGTTTACTTGGAGAGTTTCATTGTAAATGGTAGATGAGACTTCGTTCCCTCCTTGATTCTGGTTGCTGCATAATTCCTAGATTTATTTTTTTTAATGCCTCTCTTCAAGATAGTAGATATTGTTCAGTTGAAGCCTTGTAAATTCCCTGCCGTGTAAAATACTATAAATTATAGGTTTGAAATCTCAGGGGCTATAGTAATTTTTTTCAACTGGGATTCATAAATAATTGGTATGCATTTTTGGTAACTATCTAACCTTGTTCATTTGTCACTTTAAAAATGAAAATTATTATTTGCTTATATGTAACCTATTTTATCTCTATGTATTTGTTAACTGCTTTGTAAATATAGCCAATTTTGCTGCTCTGTACATTTATTAACTCTGTTGTAAATAGTTAATTTTACTGCTTCCTTCCAATTTAGGAATTGGAGAAGTGTGATGCCAACCACTACATTATACTATTTCGTGATGCTGGATGCCAGTTTAGGGCACTTTATTGCTACTACCCTGATACTGAAGAAATCTACAAGCTAACAGGCACTGGGCCAAAGAGCATCACTAAGAAAATGATTGACAAGCTTTATAAATATAGCTCAGACAGAAAACAGTTTAACTTGATTCCAGCCAAAACCATGTCTGTCAGTGTGGATGCTCTCACCATTCATAACCATTTGTGGCAACCCAAGCGGCCAACAGTGCCAAAGAAGACTCAAACTCGTAAATGACATTGGTTTTGGGGACAAATATCTGAGGGGATTGTGCTGAAAGAAGAATATTTACCACTTTCTTCAATTTGGGTACGAAATGTGCAAAACCGTAAAACTTTTTAAAGAGGCTTCTAGATAAAATCAATCTTCCCCCTCAACACACACACACACACACACACACACACACACACACACACACACACACACACACACACACACACACACGTTAAAAAGAATGAAGGAACAATGCCAGTGTTTTTTAATGACTCAAATCTGCTGTTATATTTAATGCTAACTACTGAAGCTTTCAAATGAGGGACTGTGCATGTAGCAAGATCTTTAACCAGTGAATTTCCTTTTACTTGAAGTTCTCTATTGGTACAAATTGGAAACGATTTAATTTGCTTTTCTTGCCTTCTCCTCTTCCACTTCACAGTGGAAGAACTGAGAATTGATCTTGGGTCATGAGTTTCTGAATGTGTATAGGAAAAGAAATTCTTATTTGGGGACTTTATTTTTCTTTTGAAGAATTGTATGATATATGATTGTATCTACTGCCAACATTTAATCCAAGTTTTCAGATTTATGGAAAAAAAAACCCCCAATTTATGTGGCTCAGAAAAAAAAGTTTATTGACAATATTAGTTAACAAAAAGCACTGAAAGATTGCAAAGTCTGTCTAAAATATCGTTTATAGATTTAGAGATGACAATTTCTGGAACACAATCATGAGGACGCAAAAAATCATAGGTGCTATAAACTAGTACTTGCTTAGTAGGCAAGATGAATGAAAACCGTTATCATTGACAAAGTTTTGGGTATAGTGTTCTAATGATTTGTTAACTTTATTAAAGACATATTTTGGCAAAAGAATACTTTCACTCTGAGCACGTTCCTCGTATAAGATGGTGCACTTAAGATCTTAAGTCCTTTTACTGTTTTTATTGTCATGACATGTAATTCTATTTGCTTTGTCCTGTCTTTATTCTGAAGGAGCAGCATGCTCTGAACAGAGTATGTGCAATTTTTTACTAATATTAATTTAGGGTGATAAAGTAATTTTGTTTTGTCTTATTTAAAAATTTTAAAGCAGAGTTGCTGTTGTTTCAAAAGTCTGGATAAATGAAACGGCTTTGGATTCTTTTCATGTTGAAATATTAAATCTTTAGTTATGACCCTAAATATGTGTTTTTCCAGCAGATTCAAATCATTTGGGAGAGTAAACTTGTATTTTGATTTCCTTCTTTATGCACTTACAGTTCCCTTCAGCACTTGTGTTTTCACGTGTACATCTAGAGCTCTGTAGTTGAAGCCTATTTAATCGTTAACTGGTTGCTATGACATCTTGATTTGACACTATTGCCTGAAGGCATTTGTTAGGTTTGCACATGTTTACTTGGAAGTGTTACTTGGATATATGTATATCTATCTTGTACTGAAGAGGGCACTGTAGAACAATAGAAGGAAAAAAAACTCTAAAATACACAAGTGTAATTATTACATAAACCTAAAGACAAAAAAGGTAAGTTGTATAAAGGAGAAAATGTGGTACAAAATAAAACACTAGAACTGCAGGTTTTATTGCAGTCTTCTCAGCCCTTTGAAGAAAAAGATTGTAGTTTGTTGCATTGTTGTATATATTGTGTTTAGAGATAGCTGGTTCCTTGTACTGTAAATAAATAACTAAAGGCTTTATGATTTCTAAAGTGCTGAGTATTAAAGTTATGAGTGAATTTTTCTGTTACCATGCTTTTCATTCTTCTGCTTTATTTCTCACTGTATGTTTGATATATTATCATATTTATTTTAAGAAAGCACTGAAATGTAATAAAAATGATTAAATAATTTGCTTTATTTTAATTTCATTTGTGTGTGAGGTTAAAATTCATTTTGGTGAGAACTCATAAGCCTTCATGCTTTAAAGATGTACTGTATTCCATAGTTACATTTAAGGAAGGGCTGCTATCAGGTATTATAGTGCATCTGTTGGAATAGTGATTATCTTTTACCTTTTTATCTCATAGTCACGGTCCAAATATATAACAGCTTGACATATATGCATCAGACAAATATATAACATCTTGACATATAGTATCAGAAAGCATAGACTCATTTTCAGTAAATGAAATTTATTTTTAAAAGTGATTGAAGAAATCCTGTCACATACAGTTGAACCATCACATTGCTGTCTTTTAGTTCTTAGCATTTTTCATTAACCTTTCCTCCATTTATCTGTTATTTAACATTAATTATGGCCTTTAGAACTTCAGGTTTTCTGTAGTTTATATTTTACTTTGTAACTTCTAATAGTATTTGACTGTAACCTGATTTTCAAGTTTCTAAACCTTTCAGCCAGCATTTACTTAACATACTTTATTTCACATTTAATATTTATAAATATAAGATTAATTTTATTATAAAGTTGGAATAAGTATTTCATTTTTAAGAGTGAGATTTGAATCTCTTGTTGTGTAGGCAGCAGTGACGTTAACATTCAGGTTACAAAATGGTATTACAGCCCTGTTTGTTCTCCAAAATTGTTGTAGCATGTGTAGTATTTTAAAATTGTGATATTTTCCTAATTATAGCATATTACATATTACATAACAGTCATACCTCTACCTCTTTAATTACTTTGAAAATAACTATAATAAATCAGTTATCCTTATTTCTTAAGATTAGCTGCACTCACATGTTGTCCTACATGGGTATAGCATGTAGTTTCAGTATATTGTATAGATCCTTTGTGAGAGTTCCTCCTGGCTCAGAAATTTAAAATTATATGATCCAGGTGTGATATCACCCTAAGATGAATGGATATTAGGTGGGGCTATAATGTGAAAACTCTTGATGTATCACAAATATTGAATTATTTCTAGTTTATCTAGCTTTTCTTGAGTTTATCATTGTACACGTGTTCATTCTGTATGTGTCAAAAACATTACATTGATAAATGCTTTGGGGGCTTACTCTTATTAATATTTTTTCTTTGTTTAAAGGCAAATACATCCAGCCCAAATTGAAAATCTAAACAATCTTAAGGTTCTTTTTAGATCAGTTAAGATTTTTCTTGAAACTATCATTATTTGAAGCAATTTTAAAAAATACCTTTAATTTAAGTAAAATTTGGTAAGAATCTAACATAAATCTCTTGTCTTTTATTTTATACCTTGGGATTTCACAAAATTTTAAAATAATTTTCTTAATAATAGCATTAATGGCAAATATGAAAAATATATTGCTAGCAAATTTTGAAAAAAATAGAAATGTACATCTTTAAAGCTATTTGATTTCACTTTTCCATTTTGTTTATTTTTGTTAGATTAGTTTTGCACATTCTATGAAAAGGACTGAAGATGTTACAATGGTCTCGCCACCTCTCCTATTATTCATATGGTTAAACATATCAGCAACATTATCTTTTAAAAAGAAACCATATCATTACTTATTCAACATTTCATAAGATACTTTAAAAGATATTATTTAGGAGTTTGTCTAGGATAAGTTGCTCATTTAAAGTTCAAGAATTAGCAAACATTTTTTGAGCTGCTACTATGTGCAAAAGCACTCTTAGACGTTGAGGGAGAAAAAAAGATAAATTAGACATTGTCTCAAGCTTGTAAGTTCACAAAAGAAGGTAAGACATATACAACTCAATATACAATGCAAGCACATATTTATCTCTTAATACACAAATATAAGTATATGAAATTACAAAGTGCTTTGAGAGTTGAAACCTTTTTTGGCATCAGAAACTGCTTCGAGAAGTTGTGTTTGATAGAGTGACATTTGTTCTGGGCCTTGAAAGATAGGAAGAATTTCAACAGCTCTATTGAATTATACAAGTAGGGAGATTGTGGGAAAGGCTTTTGAGGCATAGGTAATGTGTGTGATTACAGGCCTGGAGGTGACAGCAGTATAGGAAAATATCAGGAAATAGCAGTCCAGTTAGGCTGAAGCAGTGTGTATGAAAGGAGGTAGTGGGAGATTAGGTAGGTACCAGATTGTAGAGGGGCTTAGGAGTTTTGCCTTAATTTATTAGGTAATGGAGTGATATTCCAGGGTTTTGAATGTTATAATCACATGATCTAGATGTTCCTCAGATTATTTAGCAGCATCACGGATTTGAAGAGGAATGACTTAAAATGCTGTTGCTGTAGTCTAGACTAGAGGTAATGAGGGACCAGGATTAGAATGGTAGTGGGAAGTTGGAAGGCAAGTTTCTGAAGCTGCTTGGGAAAATGCCGACTCTCCCTGCATCTAGTAACTGGGGAAATGGGGCAGGGGTAGTGCTTGTGGTGACATTGGCAAAATTTATCACCTTAGGTACTAGTAGGAAGGGAAAAAAGATGAACAGTTGTAGTTTAGAGTTTATTTTGTATATTTGTGAGAAATATGTTTGAAGTATTTTTCAATTATGGTTCAAATAGTTCTCTGCTTGACAATAGTAGTTTTTCCTTTATTTCCTTCTTTCTGGAACTAACTACCCCTTACAAAAGTTATTCTTGGGGCAGCTAGGTGGCGCAGTGGATAGAGTTCTGGCCTTGGAGTCAGGAGGACCTGAGTTCAAATCTGGCCTCAGACACTTTACTAGCTGTGACCCTGGGCAAGTCATTTAACCCCGACTGCCTCACCAAAAAAAAAAAAAGTTATTCTCAAGTAAGAATGAGTTAAACAGGTTTACATTTTGAAATTCAAAGAGAACGATTATATATGAGATATGAGCTGTAATTGATTGTATTTGAGGATGTTTCTCGTAAGTTTTACAATATTTGATATATTTTGTCCTGAGTAGAAAGTTTCTTTTAAATTCAATCTTTTATGGATTTCTTAAATCACCATTAGATAGTTGTTTCAAATACTTTGCAGATTTCCCCTTCTACTTCTCTGGGAACACAGAAAAATGGTGAAATACAGTGAATAGGAAATAGTTGGCTAAAGAAGTCAGATTTGTCCCTTTGTCATTGATATTTGAGGTAGTTCTGAAATAAGTTATCAGTAACATTTTTTTGCCAATACTTAGACCAAATAAGAAATATTTTTGATATGAAATGTTTGTTTTCCCAAATAATCAGCACTTTTTACTGATAGGTAGATTGGAGGAAAGTAGAGGGGCAGATAGGTGGTATAGTGGATAAAGTACCAGGCCTGGAGTCAGGAAGATCTGAGTTCAAATCCAGCCTCAGATACTTACTAGCTGTGTGCCCTGGACAAGTCACTTAACCCCTATTTACCTTGGTTCATCTGTAAAATGGGGACACACTGGAGAAGAAATGGCAAACCACTCCAGTATCTTTGCCAAGAAAACCACAGAGTTGGATGCAACAATGACGGAACAACAAAGATGTAACATTTAATTTGATAATTTACTTCTCCCCTATCACCTCTCAAAAAAATCCATAGGCTTTTAAATGTGGGCCTGGTCAAAATGAGAATGAATAATAGGAGCAGAGAGCATAAAATCTAACAGGCTGAAATTCTGTTTAACTTATTGAGGCCAGGCATGTATTCATGGTTTATTTGTTTAGGGTAAGAAAATGATTACAGTTAAACCTAGATTGTCCTGTTGCTTACCCCTTATTTCCATGCCCACAAGAGGGACATCATCATTTTGGGGGTCCATTTGTTGATTCAAATTTGACAGCAAATTCTACTGGCAGGTTTGTAGTTAGATTTTCAAATACAAAGTAGAGGTGGCATTATAAAGTTGGAAGGAATCTTAGAGATTATATACTCTAACTCCTTCATTTTACGCATGAAATAGACCCAGAGTGGTTAAGTGACGGCCAAGGTTCTATAGAGGGTGTTAGGTATTAAGTGTCAGAATCAGGATTCAAATCCAGATCCTCTGACTTCCACTGCAGCATTCTGTTGCACCACACAGAGCTGGATGTTAGTGTATTGAGAAAACTTAAAATGGCAAAGTTGAAAGAACGCTGAGTTGTGAGGAAGTAAATATGTGTTTTTAGATCTGTTCCTGCCCATCAAGCTGGTGACCTCAGGCAATTTGCTTCACTTCATTTGTGCAATGAATAGAGAGCTAGACTAGATGATCTCAGGGCCAAATTTCTGTGATTTCGACCTACTGGGCCAAAGACTTTGATTTTAGGACCAGGAATACTATATCCAGTCTATCCTCCGGGAGGAATGAAAGTTTTGGGTGTAATTTTGATTAGTTAGTTGAACAGGCTAACCTGTCCAAATGTCTTTACCCCTATGACATTTTACTAGAGGACTTTATTAGTTTGTGCAAATGATAAGTTATATTGCACAGTTGACTGCATTTTTAGACCACTGCATGGTTACTACAACAAGGGCATCCACGTTGAGAAAGTCCTTTTAACAGGTTCTGACTTGTTCTTTGGCTAGAAATGATTCCTTGTGTTGTCTCTCTCATCGTAGGCAACATTTTCATACACAACTTCATTTTTCCAGTGTTGCCAAAGCTCTGCTTCCTTTTTAAAAATGGGAAAACAAATTCACACTGTCTTGAAGGGTGAGTAATATTCTGATTGTTGGATTTTGTTTGAAAGAGCTTTGGACATAGGTGAAAAGCATCAGTGACAAAGATATGCTGCCCAGATGACCACAGAATAAACTTTAACTAGACTATAAACCCAAGATCTTCGAAACTGATTTAGTGGGTGTTTTGTTAATGAATGTTTACAAATAGAAGTATGTGGCGTGTTAGCTATTTTCTAATTAAGCCTGGGCATTATTGATCTTGGAAGGACTTTTTATGAGAATGATTTGTTATCAGACCATTAATTTGTCATTTGATTTGATAGTATTTGTTTGGGGGGGGTGTTTTTTATTTTACTAGTAACATATGAACTTCTCTTAATCGGTGGACTAATAATGAAGCTTGCTTAGCGGTTCCAATGTGTGCAAGAAACAGAGTTTTTTTGTTCTTCAATTCCTAGTGGTAAGCTTGAATAACTTCACTCCCTCCACCAATTTAACTTAATTGTTTGGTCTAACATTTTTTATAAAAAACATTTTAGTCTTTATTGTTTAAGTTTTCCAGAATGTTACCCCTCAATTCCCTAGCATATAAAAATCCTTAAATAGCTTTTTATGATACCTGTAATTGCTTATGTGTAATGGATTCTGAGGGATTAGATTTATTTTGTTTGGCCCCAAAAGATAAAACCAATAGTGACAGAAGTTGCAAAAGAGGCACATTTAGTTTGGTGTCAGGAAGAACTTCCTAACACTTACAGCTGTCCAAAATTGGAATAAGCTACCTCTAATGGTGATGGTTCAACCTCCTTGGAGGAATTTTGAGTAAAGGCGGAATGGCTATTTGTCAGGTATGTTATTGTCATGAATACTTTCTCTATGAGTTGGGCTAAGATGGCTACTGAGGTCTCTTCCAGCTCTCAAATTCTTTTTCTGTGATTCTCTCCTTGGGAAATACAGTGCAGCAGAGTGTTAACTAGCTTACCCTTGGGAAGAAAACACTTCTAAAAAATTGTAACCATAGAATCACATATTGTTGGATCTGGAAGGGATTTTAGAAGTAGTCTGGTCCAATCTCACTTTAGAAAGGAGAAAACACCCCCAAAATGTGAAACAATTTTTCTGTAATCACAGAGCTATAATTTGTGACAGCCAAAGCTAGAAGCCAGGTAGCCTGATTGTCCAGTATTTTTCCTCTCACTATTATCACAATGCTTCTGTCTCTAGGCATGTTTTTTTTTCTCAAGTGTTAATGTTTACATTTTAAGGAAGAGGATTCCTCAAATTATTTTCCCTCTTCGTGGTTTGATTTTAAGTAGCAGAAGTACAGTAAAGCCTAGGTCACTCAAAAGCAGAGTAATTAGAAAATAAGTTTCTGGGATTTTTTTTTCTCTCCATTTGACTTTCAAGTCAGACAAAATCTGCAAGCCATCAGGGATTAAAACCAACACCCAGTGGAAACAACTACTAAAAACTTCTTGTTAATGTCATGGGACATACACTTAGCCCAATTGCCTAACCTTTTACATTTCAAAGAATGTTCATTGTAATTCAGAATGTCCCTGAGGCACTATGGAACTTTCATAGAAATATTTGTTTTTTATTTTTTGCTTCGCCAAAAAAGTAGAATAACACAGTTTATGAAAATTTTCACTGAGGTTTGAATGGTTGTTTTAAACCCCCATTTGCCCCAGTTTAGCCCCAGAAAAATCCATATTAATACTTTATTGTTCTTAAGTATTGTTACTTTGTTTTTGCTTTACAGATTTTCCTGAAAGTCTGACTTCTGTTCTTTTTGTCATAATGAAAGTCACAGTGATCAATTCTACTGTGTTCAAAAGTCCCAACTTAAGTTCTGTTACTAGTCTAGCCATAGCCAACAGTGGAATTAATGAGGATTGAGCCTGGAGCCTTTTCTGCTTTTCAAAATCTCAGCAAACTTAGTTTATATTATAATAATCTGACAACTGTACTGGCTTCCTGGTTTTCTAATCCAGAGCACTTAGAAAATTTAACAGTATTGCTGAACAGCATCGAGGAGGTAGGACCATATATGTTATCCAGTTTCTCTGACCTAACCACTCTTAATTTGGCAAATAGCAGAATCCACTTCAACTTTGATAAATTCCTTAGACTTTCCACTGCAATTACAGTGGAAAGTCTAAGGAATTTATCAAAGTTGAAGTTTTTAGATCTGTCTGGAAACAATCTTTCTCTCTTGAAAAGAGATATCTTCAGTGGCCTCAGGTCCCCATCTATGAAACTGGGTCATAACCCATGGGATTGTTCATGTGAACTTCAAGATTTTGGAGCCTTTCTGCAAGGTAACTTTGAGAGGGATCTATACTATTAATAGTGACTGCTGACAATTCCATTTAAGGTATACTTCCCTTTAAACAATAAAGTGTTCCTGAATTGGTGCACGTGAATCAAATAGTTTAAAAATACACTTGAGGGTGAAACATCCCTTAGTCTTTTTCAAATGAAACTAAAATTTCTTTCTGGCTTTGCTTGTTTTATATACTTCCTAGGATATGAATTACCTAAACCTTTAAAATGAGACTCCAGTGTACCTTCCATATAATAGGTGCTTGAATGTTGTTTTGAATGTAATATTGAAATCATAAAATATTGATGTGGAAAAAAGTTTTAATGTGTTGTTACATATAATTTGAAACCCATGGTTCAAATCGATCATATTTAAGTGTGTTTTTAGTTTGGGATGAGGGAGAAAAAGTCTTCTTTTCAGTGATCTCTTGGTTTGCAAAATGTTATTAGCATTGCTACTTTTTCACCATGTTTTGATGAAGGCTAAAATATCCGACTTGTAAAAAGTACATATTTCACTTGACTGATAGCTGAGTATATTACTTGACTCAGCATTATAAGTTTTTAAAAGAATAGAATTCTAGCCTTGACCAAGAAAACTAGTTAGTCCCTTAAATGTCACTTGGATAGGAAAATACAAATTACTAAGATGAATTAATGGGGAGGCTTGGTCCTAGAGAGATTGTCCCTTGTATTTTACATTTCAGCTAATTTTCTTTTGTCCGTCCAAATACCAGTTACATTCAGATTTAGAGTCGAGGATCAGATTGAGAGTTGAAAAATAAGAGATGTCATTTAAAATATATCTTCTGTCAAGTAAAATGAATTAGCTGGAAGAAAAAAAATCTAAGCTTCTTACAAGTTAACAATCATTGACTAACTTTAAAACATTTTGCATGTATCTTAACATTTTTGGGCCTCAATTTCTTCATCTCTGAAAGGATCTAGATGATTTGTAATCTCACTTTTGACTTTGAGATTTGTATTTTTAAATCAAAAGGGTAGCTTATTTTAAATTTCAAAATCACAAATTTCAGAGTTGGAAGGGGGATTTCAGTGACCATATTGTGCTACCCATATCTGAAAAAGAATCTGTACCATACTAAGCTCAACAAAAGGTCACTCTAGCCTCTGCTTGAAAAACTCCATTGAGAGATAGATGCTTTTTCAAGGCAGTCCATTTTAGTTTTGGATAGTTCTAATTCTTAGGAAAGTTTTCCTAATATGAAATTTAGATTTGCTTCTTTGCAATTTCTGTCCTCTGAGGGCAAGCAGAACAAGTCCAGTCTTGTGTGATAATGCTTCAGATACTCAGATTTATGTCCTTCCCACCTAAGGTCTTCTCTAAGATAAAAATCTCTTATTCTTTGAATAAATCTTCCTTTGACAGGCACTTGAGGGCCATTAATATTCTGGTTGCTCTCCAGATATTATTCAGCTTATTAATGTCCTTTCTAAAATGTGGGGCCCATTTTTCCTACAAGCTGTGCTTTGCATGATGCAGCCCGAAGATAACATCAGCACTTTTTGGCTACTATTTTATACTACCGAATCCCATGAAGCTTTTCACCAAAACTCTCAGATCTCTTTCAGACAAGTTACTTCCTAATTATGTCTCCCCATCTTGTACTTAATGAAGGCAATTTTTTAAACTGAAATATGACTTCACAACTTTCCTAATTACATTTCATCTTGACAATTCAGCATAATATTCTAGTCTCTTGAGGTCTTTTTAGATCCTGACTGTCATCCAGTGTGCTAACTGACCAAGCTTTGTGTTTTCTACAGATTTTGTGATCATCTATGCCTTTAAGTCATTCACAAAAAATGTGTGGCAAAGGCTATTATAGATCCCTGGAGCACTTCAGTGGATTGCAGTGGAGACAGATGACATGGAACCATTCATAGGGTGACTCTTTGAGTCTGGCCATTCAGTCAGTTGTAAATCCATCTAATTGTACTACCATTTTGTTCTCCTCTTTCCAGCTTTTCTATAAGAATAACATCAGATACTTTATCCAACACTTGATTAAAATCTTTGTCAAACAGTTGGTTAAAATCTTAGCAACTATGTGTTCCTGATCTATCAGTTTATTAGCCTTGTTAAAAAGGTTAGCCTAGCAAGACTTTTTTTTGTAAATAAAATTTTATTTATAACTTTTTTTTACATCATTCATTTTCAGATTTACTACCAAAGAAGTGTTTATGTGTATATATTTCTGTAGCCACTCTAACATTGACTATTTCCAGGTTTTTAAAAAGCTTAATCATTTGATTAAAGATGCTTTATTTATAAAAATTCTCTGTACAAGATTACCTTTTTTAAAAAATTTTTTTATAACTTACATCAATTTCAGGTGTGAAATTATGTTATTATGTTATTATATATTATATTGCATCATATCTGCACTTTTCTGCTACCTTACAAATCATCTCTTTAAGAAAAAAAAAGCTCAGTAAAAACTAACCGAAATATTGATTGAATATGACATTATATGCATGTTCCACATCCTTTTCCATACCTCCCCTCTTCCCCTCTTCTTCTTGCTCTGCAAAGAAGAGAAGGAATTTGATTTTTAACATCTCTTCTTTAGGGTCAAGGTTTGCATGACCTCTTATTGTTGAAGCCATGCTAGATCCTCATGATCACCTTTCTTTTCTAGATGTTCACTAACTGTTTCTTTAATAATATGTTCCATTATTTCAGTGTCCATTGTAGTGTATCATCATCTGATGCTTGGGTTCTTGAAAACCATGGTGATGGAATACAAACTCTATTAGGTCCTATCAAGTTAGAGAGATTTCTAGTTTGGGCCAGGACGGATGGTATCTTGTGATTGGAGAACCACCCTCACTAAATTTGGAGAGTCTCTTTACCGGGTTGGCCATAAGGAAATACGTTTTTTGGCACTAGCAAATTTAAAAAAGTCTTTTCCAGTAAATATAGTAGCAAAGCAAAGATTTGACATAGTTAATTTGACATAGTTCCGTGTTATTTGATATAATTCTAGAAATAATATCAATAAGAGAAGAGAAAGAAATTAAAGGTACACAGTCATATACAAAGAGGAAGCAAAACTATCCCTATTTGCTGATGTTATGATAGTGTTCTTAGAAAATGTTAAAGAATCAGCTTAGAAACTAATTGAGAAAATTAAAAGCCTCAGCAAAGTACCATGTATAAAATATACCCACAAAAATCAACAGCATTTCTATTTGGCCTTAACAAAATCCAGGAGGGAATAATAAAAAGGCAGGTCTCATTCTAAATAACTACAAAATGCATGAAGTGTTTAGAAATCAACCTACTGAAACACATTGAATATTTTATAGGTACAATCACAAAACACTTCTTAAAAAAATTAAAAAAAACTAGTTCGTTGTTCATGGCTTATTATGTTAATATAATTAAAGTGGTAATACTACCCAAATCAATTTATAAATTTAATACTGTAGCAGTCAAGCTATCAAGAGGATGCTTTATAGAGCTAGATAAAATAACAATTAATTTGATGTAACAAAAGATATTGAACACTGAAGGGAATAATGAAAAGAGGTAGTATTTTTAAGGGGATATAAAAAGCTATTTGGTACTGGCTGAAAAAACAAACCCCAAAACCAGACAAGTTGATCAATGTAACTGGATAAGGAAGAGTGTTGAACTTAGTAACCCAGTGTTCTATAAAACCCAAAATATAAACTACCTGTGAAAGAATTCTTTATTTGACAACTCTTGGGAAAACTGTAAAGCCTTTGTTTGATAACAACTGCTAGGAAAACTGGAAAGTGGTCTGGTAGGAATTAGATTTAGACCTTTCAAAATAGATCATAGTAAACTAAAAATGGACCTAAATATTAAAGATCAAACCAAAAAACAATTAGAGGAGAATCAGATCAAGTACCTTTTATAGCTATGGTAAGAGGGTGTTGTTTTTAACTGAATAAGGACTAGAGGTAATTACAAAAGATAAAGCAGGCAATTTTTATTTATGTGAAATTACAAGGGTTTTATATTTCTCTAAGACACATAGACAAGAGAAATAGTTAAAACCAAAAGGCATTCTCCAAAGCATAAATGGTCAAAAACGAATGGGGTTAAAGTGACTTGGCCAGGGTCACACAGCTAGTAAGTGTTATGTGTCTGAAGCTGGATTTGAACTCCAGTCCTCCTGAATCCAGGGCTGGTGCTCTATCCACTGTGCCAACTAGCTGCCTCAAGTATTTCTCAAGATACTGTGGACTATTGACAACTATATGTAAGAATGCTACAAATTACTACTAATAAAAGAAATATAAATCAAAGTAGTTAAGAGATTTCACCAGACATGCAGTAAATTGGCACAGATGGCAAAATTCAGTGCATTTATGCAGAAACATTGGTAGTGGTACTTTTTTGTAGTAGTGAAGTACTAGAAACAAAGTTGTTCCTCCATTGAGAAATTGCTAAACATGAATGTAATGAAATGTTATGCTGTTAGAAATGATGTCTATTATTAATGTGGAGAAGCATGGGAAGACTTAATTGAATTTGCTACAGAATACAGTAAGTAGAACCAGGAAAACAGGATACACGATGACTTTCATGTAAATGAAAGAACAATAACAACAAAACAAAACTGAAGGCTTTGAAATAAAATGTTCAAGCTTGACCCGAAGAAGAGACATAAGAAGGTACTTCCTCTTCTTCTCCAAGGTCAGGGACTCACTGGGGAACACTGCATATCATATTGGACTTTTTCCCCCTCTTTTTCTTTGATGAGGAGGATGGCTGTTTGGGAAGGGAAGGTGGGAGGGATACATTGGTAAATATAAGTGATGTAGGAACAAAATATATCAATTAAATTTTATTTTAATTAAAAAATCATCTACTACACTGTAGAAGAGTTGCAATCTTGGTTAGTAGAAAGAGTGCCCAGTGATGAAATTATGGGTCTTTGAAGCAATTAAGTGTTTGATGATATTTTTAGTGCCTATTTGCAAGTAGAGAGGTTATTTGTTTAAAGGATATAATTATTTTATAACTCTTGAATTATGATGAGACATATTATTTTTAACTTAGAAATTTCATAAGCTCATTGGATATTTAATAATTTGGAATTATAGTGGTAAAAAATAACAAAGATTGTTAAAAAAATGTTCTTGTATATAAGTTGAAAGAACACAGAAAGGGGACCCCTGCTTTTATGAACTAATCAGGGTTTCATGCATATTTCACTGTATATAAATTGGCGTTTCAGTAATTAAGGTTTACAAAAAGTCTTTTCTTATAACAAGTGCATGTCTCCCTCCTTCTCTTGATATGTTATTATATGTGTAACTATTGGACTTTGAAAGAGAACTGAGTAACATTTAGACTATTTCCTTTTATTTGCATGTCTAGTACATCCTTGAATATATATACATATTTCATAAATGAACATGTAAGCTCTAGTTTTCCTTTTAGTCACTGAGGTTGTTGGGTAAAAATTTAACTAGCAGCAGGCTAGATATATGTTCTAATTTTGATCTGTGTGATTATGGTACAAATTTGCTCTTGTATGATTATAGTAAACTTGCTATTTTTTTCCAGAGCTTCTCATTGCTTCCCTGTTAGAAGATGCTTCATCTGTCACTTGCCATAGTCCAGTAACCCTAAAGGGATTTCCTGTGTGGAACATCTCAGACTTTGGCTGTCAGCCTACCTTCTTGCCAGCAACTCTGGGAAATGTACTGGATAAAACAGTGGTCCCAGTAACTTTAGTCTCTGTAGGTAAGTCATAGTTATGCTAACTGCATCCTCCTTAGACTTGCTCCAGTGGTAGGACTGGTTTAGTCTGCTACAACTGAGTTTGGCTCTAAACTTACAGAGGTTCCCAAAGTGGGTGGTAGTAGCTTGGGGTGCAATTGTGGGGTCTTGAAGAAAAATAAGGGAGCATAAAGAAAGAAGAAAATTTTGAAAAACCTTTCTTACATGTTTTATCTTTTGTGTAACAGAATTAAAATTGTAGTGATTACGCTGTTTTCCAAATAACGCACAAAATACAAGTTATAACCAATTGGTGGTCAAGTCTGCTGACAGGTCTTAACAAGCAAGCATTGGCAGGCAAGTGGGTCACACATTGTTGGGTAGTCCAGAAAGCATTGGCAGGAATATGTGTATGTAATGACTTGTTTACAATATAATACTATATGGTTATATGATGCAACATTGTGTCATCAAATTTTCAATGTAGGAAAAACCCCACAACTTTACAATAAATTATTAAATTTAAGATGTGTCATCTAAAAAATATATTTTACATTTTTTTGAAATGATGCAAATTTAAAAAAAACATTAAAGGGTTAAAGATTTTCAGGGTGATGATGAGGTTGTTTTTTTTTTAAAGAGGTTGGTAGGCCAAATAAGTTTGGGAATCTCTGCTCTAAAGTATTAAAGAAAGTTCTAGTGTAGATCAGTAAGACATTTTAGAAATGAACTTGGTCTAAAAAATATTACCACTTTATGTAGAATCATAGAATTTCAGAGTTAGAAAGGATTTGAGATCATCTAGTTTAATTTTTTTATCTATTCAGGAATCTTCTCTACAAATCCATGACAAGTAGTCAATCCAGCTTCCACTTGAAGACTTCTTTTCCTCCTTAAGGCCAGTCTGTAGTCTATATTCACCCACTATATTGACTGTTTTCCCCACCATTGATCCTCATCCAAATGTTCTCCACCATGATTTTTATCCCTTGCTTATGCATTTTTATGGACTATGTAATTTGTACCTTTTGAATAAAGTATTGCCATATTCCAGTCATTAATTATATCCCATTCTTATTAAATCCCATGAGACCCAGCTTTTTTGCATTTAAAATATCCAATTTGCCTTATCTATTGTTTATACTTTTCACATTTGTATGTCTATGAAGCCATGATCATTATGGCCCTTCTTCCTATATATCTTTTATGAATTACTGAATTACATTTCATAAAACTCAGAATATATTTTTCCCAAGCCTAATTACTAAATGCTGACTCTCAATATCAAAGTGTCACCAGAGAGAGAGAGGTTGGGGGATACTAAGACTGCCCGTAGAGATCAGCAAAAAAATTCCTGATTTATATCTATGATATATTTTTCTAATGTGCTGTTTATTTACCTGCACCTCAGGCTTTATGCTGCTCTGAGAACAATCCAACCCGGCATTTCTTATTGTAAATATACAAGTTTTAGTGCTAGAGAGATCATCTGACCTGGAGTTTCTTAACCTAGGGACCATGAACTTAAAAAAAAAGTTTGATAACTGTATTTCAATATAAATTGATTTCCTGTGAAGTCATTATGTATTTTGTCTCACGCACTTAAAAACGTTCTTCCTAAAAAGGATCCATAGGCTTCACCAGATTGCCAGGAGAGTCTGTGACACAAAAAAGGTCAAGAACTGCTGATTGAGGTCAATCCCTTCTTTTTCCAGATTGGGAAGCTGAATTCCAGGGGCATGGTGTAACTTGACCAAGTTCATAAAGAGCCAGTTAGCAGGACTGAGGCTAGAACCAGGTCTCTTAAGTTCTCCTTGTATGAGAAATCTTTTTTTATTCAGGGAAAAAAAAGACCCCAAAGCTAATATAAGACTAGCAGTTACACACACACACACACACACACACACACACACACACACACAGAGCAATATTTTATGTATACAAAATAATGAATACTTCCATTAGAATATAAACTACTTGAAGTCAGGAACTATTTTTATTTTTGCTTTTTCTTTAAATTTCAACTACTCAGCACAGTGTCTGGCATGTAGTAAACATTTAATAAATACTTGTTGATTGCAACCGTCCCATGACATTTATACCCATAAATTATCCTCAGTGTACGCTATCAGAGATAAGCTGGGTCAAATGATGCCAGCCAGGCTTACTTACTACTTGAACTTAATAATTTAACCAGCTAATTTTTTTGTCTACCCAAAGTAGAACAACTGATTTGAATGATTCCCTTAGCCTTCACACCTTATTCTCCATCAGAATTTACTGGAGGATTTTAAAAGATATCTATCTAATCTATCTGTACACACACACACACACATACACACACACATACACACATACATACATATGTATATATTTTAATATATACACTATTTGTACACACATATGTAAATACAAATTCAGTTGCTTCAGTTGTGTCCAACTCTTCATGACCCCATTTGGGGTTTTCTTAGCAAAGATATTGGAGTGGTTTGCTAGTTTCTTCTCCAGCTCATTTTTACAGATGAGGAAACTGAGGTTAAATGACTTGCCCAGAGTCACACAGCTAGTAAGTGTCTGAGGCAAAATTTGAACCTAGGTCTTCCTGACTCCAAGGCTGGTGCTCCATCCCCTGTGCTACCTAATTGCCTGTACATACAAACACACACACATATACATATATATTATAATATGCACACACCTATCTAGATATATGTATATTGATATTTATATGATATATATCAGCTACAGACATACTCAAGTTTGTGTAAAGGAGTGAATGAACAGGTTGTGGAAGATTTAGGGAAAATGAGGTATTTATTTTTACAGAAGATAATATGCTTTAATAGCTTGTTATTCTATTTGTATAGGCTAAAACTTTCCCAGTTATTTTAATCTTGTAATATTTGGCAGCATGCTCTAGCTGAAATAGTACTGTGCTGAGAGGTTAGAAGACCTTGGTTTTATGTCTAGCAGCATTCCTAAAGCATTCTGTGACATTAGACAAAGCATGATTTAAAGCAGAGGTGTTAAAACATACTACATGGGCTCCAGAGAGTCCCAGGACAGCTAGAACCAGATTAAAATGTGATTGGGAAATGTGTAACAATATAAATAAAAGTACAATAGAACAAAGATAATGTTACTGTGTAGGTTTCTAAGTTAGTATGCTCCTGCAGGTATCCTTCTCTATGGTTTAGTGACACCCATTGGACTTAGAGGTAGGACATATAAAGTCACAGCCCTTTTGTGGTACTTAATAGCTTTGTGACTATGGGCAAACAACTTAATCTTTCTGGGGCTAAGTTTCCTCATCTGTAAAGAGGGGTTAATATATACCCTGTCCTCTCTCCTAGAACTATTAGGACAAAACAGGATATGAAAAAACATTTTGCAAAGTTAAAAAGCATTCTGTCAGTGTAAGATATCAATATCAACATTACTAATTTGTTCAATCATTTCAATTGTGTCAGACTCTTCATGACCCTATTTGGAGTTTTCTTGGCAAGGGTACTGGAGTGGTTTGCCATTTCCTTCTCCACTTCATTTTTACAGATAAGGAAACCGAGGCAAACAGGGTTAAGTGACTTGCCTGGGGTCACATAGCTAGTAAGTATCTGAGACTGGATTTGAACTCAGGTCTTCCTGACTCTAGGCCCAGTGCTCTTTCTACTGTGCCATCTAGCTGCCCAGCGTTACTAACACAGTGCATTAATTATTACTTATAAAAATGGTTAGCCTTAAATACTTTAGAACCATTTCTGGTTAATGTCTTTACAGTGTTACTTGTGCTCCTTTGGCTGCTTCTGGTGCTTTGGAAGATGAAACACAACAGAGTACGTTGGCAGCTAGGTAAAGGAATAGCTGTCGGTACCTGTAGAAAAGAGTTCATAAGACCCCAGAAGAGCAGCGGGCATCCTAATAGGAAGAGACAAGTCACCATCAAAGAAATGGCTTCACAGATTACAACAGTTGAACAACCTTCAAGATCAGCCTTGGCAAGTTAGTCAAGTTCAGAACATTCAGGAGGGAACTTGGGGCCCTCTGAACAGACTGGGCAAACCCCCCAATTAGAGCTTCCTGGTGGGGATTCAGGTTCCCTTAATAACTTTCACCAACACAGCAAGAAGCTCAATGCCCCAGTCCCTTGGCCCAGTGTGGAATTTTCATGTAAAGGTACATGTTGTATGTCTGAGCCTGTAAACCAGAATCTGAGTGCATTAGAAATGAGTGGCATAGAAAGAGGTGGTGCTAGGGTTGAGAACACTGAGACCCTGGAATATTTCACGGTATCTATAAAGAAGTCAAGTTGCCCCAGTACCAAGCCCCATAGAACTGTGCAAAGTTTCCTTTGAAGAGGAGCCAGACATGGCCACAGGAAAGTGGTATGTGGATCAAGGAACAAAGCCTGAGGACAAACATCCCCTCAGTCCCTGCTAAGGACTCTCAGAATGCTGAAATACATGAGTACCTACAAGGTGATCTACACATGCAAGAGAATCCCAAGCCTCTGTTTAAGAGAACTTCCAAACCAAGACTCACCCAGAAGTTAGCCCAACTGGGTGGGTACCAGAGAAGAAGATAGCTTACCCACAGTCAGGGGAAGGTGGGGCAGGATGGAGCCTCAGCCCCTTTGTCTCTAATACCAGAAGTCTCCCCTGCATCCTCACTGGAGAATACTCAGTCCTTTGATAAGAGCCAGGCCCTTGGCTGTGACCTACTTCATGAGGTGGTGGAGAACCATGGTAGATGGACTTGGAAGCATTGGAAGCAAACTCATCAACCAAGAGGAGTTGATGGATAATTGAAGAGTCAACATCTTCTTCCACCTCCTTCTTCCTTGATAAGGTAGATTAGAGAAATCTCAGCAACTAAGCTAATGTAGAATAGTGTGGCTTTTTTTTTCCAGTACTGAACTGGTCTCTGATGTAGAGGATGAACTCTGCTGTACACTGACTCTCTTCTCTCCCTTTCCTCATTTTTGACTTAAACGTTGACCCAAATGTCCTAGCATACAAACTTATTATGCTCTTTGCCTGGCTTATTTTCTCTGAATTTAAACCCATTTACTCTGCACTTAGTAAATATTATTGACTCGACTACATAAGCCTTCTTGGTCAAAAGTTATTTTGTTTGTTCTATAGTGACAATCTCATCCCTAGTAGTAATTTTAAAGGGTGGAAGTGGGATAGAGCATATGGGTATTCAAGGCATATTCAAATGCATTTTAAAAAGCATTGCACTACTTACAGAGATCTAGACACTAAGCAGCAGGTTCAGATACTAGATTTGGTTGTGAAAATATATACTATTCATTGTTTAAAGCCTTTTAAAAGTTTGATGTAGCATGTTAGGAAATTGCTTTTCTCTGTAAGAATATTTGAATAAAGACAGATTGAAGCTTAAAGTACTGTTTACATATTCATTTTAAAGATATTCCTGTTAGCAAATAGCTATTTCAAGTAAGTTTCTGAACTTCCTCTGGAAAGTGTAAAGGCTGGTGAACCTTCTGGGAGGGATTCTTGCATTGATTTTGGGGACTTCATTAGGTGACTTCTCAAGTCCCTTCTAGTACTAAGGGATCTCTGAGTCTATAAGTATCAAACTAATTTTTTTTCTTCTGATTTTGGTGAAATTGTTATCAGGATCTCTGGAGATCTCTTTTGTTAAGGTCATTTGTAAGGCAGAAGAGACAGGCATGTGCTTAGGAAAAGCAAAATCACTTGTGCTGAACTCAAGCACTATAGAGTCTACATGTGTTAGGATTCCTGGAGGTTAGTCAAGCTTTAGAGGATTTTTAAAATTTAATTTTATTTTTTTGGCTTGGTAGATTGTTTCTTTAGACCTGTTTTTCACCTTGTTAATTAGTAATGCTCCCTTCAACATGGATGATTGAATCAGAGACCACATCTCTGGTCAAAGCATAAATACTCTGGGGCTCACTCAAGCACTCCAATCAAGAAGGACTACAGTTTTAACAGCAAAAAGCACTTCACATCTGAGGATGAACAGTAAGTTACTATTCTAATGTTGGTTTGTTACACATTTGGTAAATTCTGCTTTTGATTGTATAATTGTAGGCTGGCAATTCTACTATATCCCACCGTTCACTTATATTTGCTGTCTTTCTGTGTATTAACTGGTATGTCATCTTTAGAGATTTAAGATAAAAATGTCAGGCAAATAATAATTTGCAGTATATAACTAAGCACACTTAAGAAGAGTATCTTTCCTTTCCTGTTTCTTTTGGTTTTATTATTATTTACCATTACTAAAATACCAGAATCTTTTCTTCCCCCTAAATATTACTTTTCCTAGCAGGATCGAAAGGGAAGAATTTTATTTCAGAGTGAGTATTAATAGGTTCCATAGTGCTTATCCATTGACTCAAACTTATTAGGAATGTCAGTTTTTATAGGTTTTCAGGAATGGAAACTGAAGCTTACCTTTATACCAATGCTACAATGCAGTAGTGAGTTATCTTTATAAGTGAATTCTTCATTCTTACTCTTTACCTTGAGAATCCCATTTATTAGTAACATGACAACTTCCTGGCAGATTATTATGCTCTTTACCTGGGCTATTTTCTCTGAATTTAAACCCATTTACACGGCTCTTAATAAATATTATCGACACAACTAACTATATAAACCTTTAGCTTCTTGGTCAAAAGTTATTTTAAAAGTTCTTTTTCAAAAGTTCTTTTCAGATGGATTTTGTATTGGAGATATAACAGTATTTGTTACAGGAAACAATGCTAAAGTTAAAAATGTAGTTACTGCATATATATATATATATATATATATATATATTTATATACACACATATTTAAATGTCAATGAGTAAATACACTGTGCTTTTTGTGCACACATTAAAACCTTGCCAGAACAAATAAATTTGGCCTTTCAGAATATTTTTAAAGAAGCAGACTGATTATTTCTTAGTCCTTATGATTACTTTAATATCTTATTAGCATACCTATGATTAAAGGGTGTGGATCCTCAACCTGGTTGAGGATCTAGGAAAGGAGTCTGAGAAGGAGCAGTTGGAGAAGAGAACCAGTAGAGTGTAGAATCCTGACAACCTGAGAATTCAAGGAGTAGAGGGTGATCAGCAGTATCAGAGGCTACAGAGAGGTCAGAAAGAATGAGGATTGAGAAAAGGACACTGGATGTGGAAATTTAAGAGATCTTTAGTAACTTTGGAAAGAGGAGTTTTGATTGAATAATGAGGGAAGCCAGACTCTAGAGAATTAAGAAGAGAGCAAGAGTAAAAGAAGTAGAACCTTCTCAAGGGCTTTAGCCACAGAAGAGAGAAGACATATTATAGGAAAAGGGAAATAGAAATCAAGTATGTTTTTTAAGTATAGAGAAGACATAGGCATGTTTATAGGTGGTAGATAGAAAGAGATATTAAACATTAGTGAGAGAGTGGGGATGAGAAAGGGGGCAATCTACTGAAAGATGAGATGGAATGAAGTGACTATGCAGATAGAGGATATATTGCCTTGGCAGTGAGAAGGGCCACCTCTTCCTGTGAAACAGTGACAAAGGAGGAAATTGTGGCAGAAGGAAGCTAGGTAATTGTAGATGAAAATCAGGGGAGAAGAGGTTGTTCTCCTTAAATGACCTTAATTTTTTCAGTAAAATATGAAACAAGGTAGAATCCCTTCTATGACATATTTGACAAGTGGTCATCCGTCCAGCCTTTGTTTGAAAGCTTTCAATGAGGGTAAATCCACTGCCTCCTGAAGCATCTCATTACATTTTATCGCCTTACTAATTTTGGGTATCAAATCCTTTTTAGGCACGTTTGTTCTGTTCTTTGCAGTTGTTTTCAATTCAGGAGTCTAATTTTCAGAAGCCAGACAAGCCAGAGAAATGAAAAGGGTTAGTGAAATTTATTGAAAGATACAGGAACTCAATGAAATGTGCGAAGTAAGAACTCAGCCTCTGTGGTTTCTTAGAGGTTTTCTACGTGAGAGAGGTGTTGTTGTCAGGATCTGTAGACTGAATCTCACGTTATCTGTATAAGCAGCCATGCTAATGCTAGCACCCACAAGTGTAGCTCACAAAATGGCAGGACAGTGAGAAGGATATTCTGCTCTCCTCTTACTTAACAGATGTCGATGCCCCAGCAGTTTTCCTTGCTTCTCAGGAATCCTGGCACAATGATTATCTAAGTGTTGTCAGACTTTTAAGTTTATAAAAAAATGTAGACACAAATGAGGGTTTTAAGCATGCATAGCACTAGAAATTATCAAGTAGGAGAAATATGAAGTACTTTTGGTAGATGACTACCTCATACTGAGGCTTACTTTAATCTTTAAATCTACTTCCCAAAGGAAAAAGGAAAAGAAAGGTTTAATATTACAAAGATATCTTATATTGTCACTAAGCTGATACTTAGGACCTGAAGCTAGAAGGTTCATCCAGTCCAGGAAGAATTTTCTGGTTTTCTCAGATGAAGGAGAGTATGCCTATCTTGTAGGGAGAAGGCTCTTTTGGATGACAAGGCTCAGCTGAAATGGCCATGCTGTTTTATTCTTACTGAGATCAGAGCCCTGGAAACAACTGTTCGGGTCTCTGGAAGTCCCAAGTGGAGGCCAAAGGAGTATTGGAACAGTGAGGAGGTTTCAGCCATTGGGTCTGAAATGGTCATAGGTAAATAGGACAGTCTGGGGAACTGAAAGACAATAAACATTTATTCTGGCCTGAAAAAAAAAGAAAAGAGCCGTGTTGAAGGATGGGATTCCTGGGGGCACATAAGCTATCAAGGTGATGGAAATGTCATTCCTGCTCCTGGTTTGTGAAAGAACCAGTAGGAGAAATAAATGCAAGAGGAAAAATGAGAAGTGAAGTTTCTAACAAAAATGAGCAAAGAAAATTTCCCAGAAGTGGAGAAGGAGAGATAAATGTGAAATGAGGTTAATACAGGGAGTCTAAGGAGCAGTACAAAAGGGGAAGGAAGTAAAAAAAGGGGAACTACCTCTGAGAAGTTAAGATAGTCCATGGTATCTAGACTAAGTGAACAGTACTAGAAAGAAGCCAGTTGGGAAAAGCAATGCTCTTGGAAAGTGAGTATAATCTAGTGGGGCTAAGAAAGGCTACAAAAGGGGAAGGAGGTGGGGATATATAGCTATTAAAAGAAGAAGGGAGAAGTTCTTGGGGAAAGGATTCCCCTTGTGATTATTAGAGATAACCAAACTGGAAAAGAGGAGAGGTGGGGCAGCAGGGAGTGGTAGAAGTATTCTGAGCTGGAGCTGGCCCGGGCAGTGGCTGCACTTCCAACCCATTGAATAGTGGCCCTGGCCAGTCCAGAGACTCTCCTTTACACTGGAAACTGGGCTGCTAGTCCATAAAATGGCAGTGGGGTATATAAAAGGAATTTCCCTGTGTTGAGGGATCCACCACCTTCTCCAACCCTCCTCACACAGATTGTTGCTATCTACCCTTTTATTCCATGTGGGAATAGTAATAATTAAGTCCTTTAAAGTATCTAAAGTACTCTGTCCTCTCATTTGATCCTCACAACCCTGTGAGATAGGTATATAATTATTATCCCCACTTTATGAATGAGGCAACTGAAGCTGAGAAAAATCAAATTACTTTCACTGGGTTTTAAGTGCCTCAGGCAGGGTTCAAACTCAAATATTCCTCTCCCAGAATCCAGCCACCTGCTTGGGTCTTGCTTGCATCTCCTTCCCCTCTCCCATCCCCCCTCCCCCAATACCTCATAGCTTCAGCTTCTCAGGTCACCACACTGTACTGGGCTCTACTAGTAGATTGAAGAGGGAGCTCTTAAGAATATGCTTTGGGGCATACCAAAAGGGCTTAATAAGCATATGTTGAATGAATAAATTGTATTTGATAATGATCACGAATGATAATGTTTCAAGTTTATCTTTTCTGTCTGTGCTACCTCATAGGATCATAGAATTTAAAGCTGGGAAGGGACCTTAGAGATCTAGTATAACTTCGTCATTTTTTACAGGTGAGGAAGATGAAACCCAGAGAGATTAAGTGGTCTGCCAAAAGTGGCAAAGGTCTGACAAGTAGGACTGAGTAGAATTTAACATTAACTAGCCCTCAGACTATATCCTAAAAAAGTATTCTTCAAAACTATTTGGTATTGGTTAAAAATAGAAAAAGTGATCAGTGGAGCAAATTAGATTAAAAAAAAACCTGGACTGTTCCATAAAACCAAAGACACTGTTGTACTAAGGACTTTCTATTCAACAAGCACTTTTGGGAAAACCGGAAAACATCCTGCCAAATTAGGTTTAGACTAATGTCTTACAACATATACCATAATATAACAATATGTTCCGATTAAATTCAAGGCCTAAATATAAAAAGATCATAACCATAAATAAAGTAGAGGGGAAGGTGATACCTTTTGTAACTATGGTGAGGGAGTGAATTTTTTTAAAAATTAATTTATTTTGATTTATCAACAATCACTTCCATAAGCTTTTGAGTTTAAAATTTTTCTCCTCCTCCCTCCTCCCTTCTCTCCCCAAGATGGTGCACAATCTGATATAGGCTATACATATACATTCCTATTAAACATATTTTCATATTAGAGATGTTGTAGTGAAGAATTAGAACGAATAGGAGGAACCACCAGAAAGAGGAAACAAAACAAAACAGAAGAAAAAAATAGCAAATGGTATGCTTCAATCTGCATTCAAACTCTGTAGTTCTTTCTTTGGATATGGATAGCATTTTCCATCATGAGACCTTTGGTCTTAGGTCTTAGATCCTTGCATTGCTGAAAAGGGCTAAGTCTATCAACATTAGTCATTGCACAACGTGGCTGTTACTGTGTGCAACATTCTCCTGGTTCTGTTCACTTCACTCAGCATCAGTACATACAAGTCTTTCCAGGTTTTTCTGAAGTCCACTTGCTTGTCATTTCTTGTAGCACAATAATATTCCATTACCTTCATATACCGCAACTTGCTCAGCCATTCCCCAATTGATGGGCACCCTCTCAATTTCCAATTCTT